AGTTGCCTATAGGCATCGTGCATGAACGACTCAAAGGACTGGCTGGCTCCACTATTCTCTGAAACAAAACTTTTGAGTTTACTTTGTCTTAACTGAACATGATTTCCTTCGGACACAACCCAAAGATTGATGTCAGTTTGGTCCACTGCCTGAAAGACAGTGTTTAATGGAACGTTTTTTAGAACTTTTAAAAAACGTTTCATCCAAATCGATGGAGATTTAGCAGTGACTTCTAAATCTTCATCGCCTGTCTTGTGCTGACCTATTCCACCACAAAAACTGGATTCCATGAGGTCGGTCAGAGCTTGAGCTCGTCCTTTCTCAGCAACAAATAAGGCTTCATCTACATTACCTTGTTCTACGAGAACTCTCCACAAACCTGTATACGCCATTTGATGCTGATTTCGAAAATTAACTTTCCACTCATCTTTAGATTTTAGAAGTACTCTCAAGGAATTTAATAAGTTTATGCTAGCTTGGTAATGTTCAACGGCTTTTGGCAGTCCACCTTGCAACTCAAAAACCCTTCCTAATGAACTGTGATAAGCATTGCCAAGATTGCAATAAGCACACCCTCCCCATGCTTGTCTCCTACTTCTTTAGCTATTTTAAGATCTAGGTTGTGGTACTCTATGGCTTTTTTGAAATCACCCAGACGGTGATAAGCATTGCCAAGATTGCAATAAGCAACACCCTCCCCATGCTTGTCTCCTACTTCTTTAGCTATTTTAAGATGTAGGTTGTGGTACTCCATGGCTTTTTTGAAATCACCCAGACGGCCATAAGCATTGCCAAGATTGCCATAAGCGTTACCCTCCCCATGCTTGTCTCCTATTTCTTTAGCTATTTTAAGATGTAGGTTCTGGTACTCTATGGCTTTTTTGAAATCACCCAGACGGCGATAAGCATTGCCAAGATTGCAATAAGCGTTACCCTCCCCATGCTTGTCTCCTACTTCTTTAGCTATTTTAAGATGTAGGTTCTGGTACTCTATGGCTTTTTTGAAATCACCCAGACGGCCATAAGCATTGCCAAGATTGCCATAAGCGTTACCCTCCCCATGCTTGTCTCCTACTTCTTTAGCTATTTTAAGATGTAGGTTGTGGTACTCTATGGCTTTTTTGAAATCACCCAGACTAAAATAAGCATTGCCAAGATTGCCATAAGCGTTACCCTCCCCATGCTTGTCTCCTACTTCTTTAGCTATTTTAAGATATAGGTTGTGGCGCTCTATGGCTTTTTTGAAATCACCCAGACGGTCATAAGCATTGCCAAGATTGCCATAAGAAACACCCTCCCCATGTTTGTCTCCTACTTCTTTAGCTATTTTAAGATGTAGGTTGTGGTACTCTATGGCTTTTTTGAAATCACCCAGACGGCCATAAGCATTGCCAAGATTGCAATAAGCGTTACCCTCCCCATGCTTGTCTCCTACTTTTTTAGCTATTTTAAGATGTAGGTTGTGGTACTCCATGGCTTTTTTGAAATCACTCAGACGGTGATAAGCATTGCCAAGATTGCCATAAGCAACACCCTCCCCATGCTTGTCTACTACTTCTTTAGCTATTTTAAGATGTAGGTTGTGGTACTCTATGGCTTTTTTGAAATCACTCAGACTGTGATAAGCATTGCCAAGATTGCTATAAGCACGACCCTCCCCATGCTTGTCTCCTACTTCTTTAGCTATTTTAAGACCTAGGTTGTGGTACTCTATGGCTTTTTTCAAATCACCCAAACGGTCATAAACATTTCCAAGATTGCCATAAGTAACACCTTCCCCATGGTTGTCTCCTATTTCTTTAGCTATTTTAAGATGTAGGTTGTGGTACTCTATGGCTTTTTTGAAATCACCCAGACTAAAGTAAGCATTGCCAAGATTGCCATAAGCATCACCCTCCCCATGCTTGTCCCCTATTTCTTTAGCTATTTTAAGATGTAGGTTCTGGTACTCAATGGCTTTTTTGAAATCACTCAGACGGTGATAAGCATTGCCAAGATTGCAATAAGTAACACCCTCCCCATGCTTGTCTCCTACTTCTTTAGCTATTTTAAGATGTAGGTTGTGGTACTCTATGGCTTTTTTCAAATCACCCAGACTAAAATAAGCATTGCCAAGATTGCTATAAGCAACACCCTCCCCATGCTTGTCTCCTACTTCTTTAGCTATTTTAAGATGTAGGTTGAGGTACTCTATGGCTTCTTCTTCCCGATTATAGAGATCTATGACTTTCTTGACATCACCTGAACTTGCACTACCATGGTCATGACTAATAGGATCTTTTTCCTCCATGGACTTATCTCCCACTTCACTGACAGACTGAAGTCTTAGTGACAAAAAGATCCTATTGTATTTGTCAATCTTTTTTTATGTTAAGGGTTAAAAATGTGGAAAAAACAAAAAAGATTATGTTTCTGATCATATTGATATGTAATAGTCCATTTTAACATTTGCGTGCTTGGTTCCCAAGCCTCTGAACAAGAGCGATGATTAAGGGTGGCCTTGTTATGATAAAAACATTGCTGCTTTTTAAATGCAAACTACTTTGTTATTATCGTTTCTAGATACTGGTCTCTATCACAACAAGGTCACCTTCAGCCTCACTCCAAATCAAAGGCTTGGCAACTAAGTACACAACTATAAAATGGCCCATTAGGAGGGCTTTGCATGAAAGGTAGATGATTTTATCAACATTCAGTCTTAAAGTCAGTTATGAAGTAAATCTACACTTCAAAAAATGTTTTTGTCTGTGTGCAGCCTCAAAATTTAACGCAAAATATCTAGATTTAATCCCTAGTTTCCAAAAACTGAGCAGCACTTGCTCAATTTTTGAATTAATATAGCTTTAACATCAGACAAATATGTTTTACAGCAGTGGAAGAAATGAGTCTACAACACAGATAAATGTCTTTAAAACTTGTATTTGTCCATAGGAAAGCACAACGAAAGTTTCCGAGTCTCTAAGTAGTGGAAAAAGGTCGAAGGCAAGAAAATCTGCATAAGATATGTAAACATTACCGAGCTTTTTGTTCTGGCATGTTTTAGAGAGATCATCTACACAAGTACCATGTATAAACTGGATGAATACTAGTCTTCTAACCCTTTAACTCCCGTGAGTGACCAGAAGAGAATTTCTCCTTACAATAGCAATACAATATCAATCAGATAAGTGTTGAGAGTAAAAAAAAGTATCAATTTGAAAATAGTTAGTTGATGCAATATTGAATTCTCTGTACTAACATTACAAGAATTGTATGGTTGACAGTAAGGATAATTACAAATTTGGTCTGGGAAATTAAAGGGTTATTTAAACTAATGTACCAGTTATTGGCATGGATAGTATAACTAAGTCAAATTGGCTAAAAGGAGTAATATCTTTAATAAGTCATGAGGTAATAACTTTTCCTACGTTTCTTAATAACACACACTTAAAGTATGTGAGCTGACAAGTTCCCATCATAATTAATACCCTTCTTTGTATTTTCTCCCTTGAAACATCAAATTATGGAAACTATTTCCATTATACCCACGGTTAAAAATGAAAGATTCCTTCAAAGGATACAGCTAGTCCCTTATCACACCAAGTGATTGCCTCTTCAAATCTCTTCAATTCAACACAAGCAGTGGCTCCTGTAGGCAACAACACAAAGAAGCATACTATTACTGTAGCTCAATTCTGAGAAAAGAACCTGAAACCATTGAAATCATTACAGACCAGAAGAAAAAAAAGACAAAACAAAACAAAACAACTAAACGGAAAAGAATAACAAGAAGAATAATAAGAAGTTTCTCTCAACTACACCTGTCACGCAATTCTTGCTCTAGGCGGTCACTTGACAAAATAAACCTACATTTTTTAGTTCTGTAGGTCAAGTGACCGCCTAGAGCAAGAATTGCGTGACAGGTGTAGTTGAGAGAAACTTGTCACAGTCGCAGATTTTAAAAGGTATCCAAGACAAAAATACGGTAGTGCCCAAATATTTTTTTGATGATTTTCAGAGATGAAATGATGGGTTATAAAGGGTAATTAAGATAAGTGTTGCAGCTTTCTGGAAACGGGAGATATTTGACCTCAAAGTTGTCAAATATTTGGATGAATCGAAAAGTCTAAAAACACAGTCGTATATTTGCCTCTGTTGATTGACAAGCCGTCAATCAAACTGACTGATACTCGCAACAGACATTAACCAAGGATGTTAAAATATGTGTGCAAATCCTCAAAGTAATCAGTTAAATACCATCGCAGTGAGAGCTTCATACATTTTACCTATTTGAAGCGATTTCCTTGGTGAAAACCAAGAAAAACCGGGTGGTGGTCTATCTCCCCCCGGAAGAAACCAAAACAGAAACCAGTCTGTCTTTTTTAGTTTTGGGGTAGACCCTTTAAACTGGTAAAGTCTCATTGAAATCGGTGAGATGGCATGTTGCACGACTGCTCGGTGCTCTCGTGGACACGCTCTTAACATATCTGACACCTGTGACTCATTGAACTTAAGGAACTAAAATATTCATGCTGAAATTTTGCTTTGCATTCTGCATTGAGTTCTTCATCCCGTTCAAAATAATATTCTCATCATGATTAATGGAAAGTAATGGCGTAACAGTCAAGAGCTGGATTCAAATGTACATCAGGGTGGTCTCGACCTCTTAATTAAAGTCAATTGAGACAAGATTGAACTCCATTTAACCTCATTTAACCTTAGAGTGTTGAGTTCTTTTTGTTATTATTATTATTATAGCACTATTATTATAGCACAGCTAACATATCTAACCTCTCACAATTGCCTTAAGGAAAGTTGGATTTAACTCAATGGCTGCTTCTGCATCCCTTAGTGAATCCTGGTGATTTCCTGTTATTGAAATAAATATCTCTGATTAGCCATACATGTTGCAAACCAACTACCATTACTATAATTTTGGGAAAAACTTGTGATGCTCATTGATATCTGGGGTAAGAGGTTACTTCTTTGTATATTTGAGAGGCCAAGATAAGATGTAAATTTTTTCCGGGCATGCATTCAAAATCATCACCTTTTTCAGAAAACTACTACTGACAACTCAATAGCTTCAAAATAGAAAAAAAAATGCATATTAAAGTTCTCATTATCTTACCAAGTTTAGAATGTGCAATTGCCCTGTTGTTGTGCAGTTTGGCCTTCAGTTCTTTGTCATTGCAGTTCATTTTAATTCCTTTGGTGTAAAAATGAATAGCATTGATGAAATCTCCTTTCTTGAAGGCCTCATTACCCTCATTCCTATAAACATCAGCTGTGGCTGCAAAGAAAAAATAAAATAATTCGAAAAAAAATTAAAAAATGGGTGTCAAAGTCTGTGGTCGTAGTTAATAATTATTCGTGTATAGTCAGAGCTGCCAAGATCTGGAGATTTCAAATCTGCAGATTTTCAATAGTTATGATGATGCTAACAATGTAGGTGACAACATGGGTAAGAATAATGATGAGAATTATAAGCATCACTCAATTCGAGGCAAACCCCTGGAGATGAGAGATTTTGGAGATAGGTTTCCTAAAATTCCTATTCCCTGGGCAAAATTAATAAAATGTTCAAATGCCCCACACAATCTTATGTAAAAGGCGAAATAATTAGCAATTTCACTTTCAACTAATTGATCAAGCTTTAAAAACTAATTGACCAAGCTTTAAAACCTAGACCTTGAAGCCTTATTTCTTCTGAGACATTTGTTAGTGAAAGTGCACTATCTGCCTTAAACACCTCCATATTCAATGATAATTAACACTTGTACTCTACTGGAAATTAGATGTGACAGTTTTTATTCAAATTCCCTAACGCCAGTCAGGCAGGGTTAAACCCCCCCCCCCCCCCCCCCCCACCCTCTTTGGCTTGGATGAAGATCAAATGCCTGTGGGTTGCTCGAGGAGAAAGGAGGGAATGTTGAAGGTTTCAAAGTGATTATGTTTCATTAAAATAGAAAGATGATGGTGATGATGATGATGGTACCTATGATGCAAACTTACACAATGGATGTTATATGATGATCAAATAAAGTCTTAACTTATTATAACTTTGTGTTATTGCTTTGAACTGTTAGAAAAGAAAATAGCAAAAGTTTCTGTGTCATAGATCTTCTCAATGAACAGCATATTGTAATCATAGAAGAGAGTCATGACTGGCCAAATATCCTTTAAAGTGGTCATACACTGTATATATCCTTTTCCACATCTGCTTGCATTCTTGAAACTGATCGAATAGAAATTGTTCTAACAATAACTGAAGCCGAAGTTGAACCTAGCTCACCTCGTAAAGTGTCCTCGTCAAAATCTGGTGCATTTTCTTTGTCAGGTAAGTCTTCATTTTCACATGGAACTTTAATTGAACTTCTTCCTGTAGCCATAGCAACTGTAAGAAGACTGATGCTTCTTAAAAAGTTGTTCTTTTAAGTCATCCTGGCCTGAAAAAAAGGTGATTGAAAATGGTTGTAAACATCAGCTCAACATATTACCCAGTCGCAAAATAAATATTTTTTCCCTTCTGAGAATGGGAGGGATACATAGACACAAAATCAGAAGCCAATTAAGAGCTAATGTCAACATGCATCCGACAAACAGCGGCAAGTCGTCCAAATTCGTTTTCTATCCTACTTTCATATTTTGTAGCCCAATATGTCCTAATAATTGTGGTGCAGTTTTTTTGAAAATATATTTTAGTTTTTGAGAAATGATTTTTTTCGTTCGACCGCTCAAATATGCAAATTTTCACTCTGAATATTACCCGAGTTGTGTGACCTCATGTAACGAATTTACTTGACCTCCGGTATAATCCTTTGTTTTATCATCTAAACTTAATCCCTTGACATTATTGAGGCTGGCAAAAAAATATTTATTTTATTTATTTTTTAAATACTTGTTTTTATAATCTAAATTATCTTGCATGTAAACGCGGCATGAAATTAATTTCATTCGGAAATGAAACCCATTTTAGAAAAACGATAAAGGTACCTTATTGACGGACTATTAGATTTTTGATGCGAGGAGGGGGGGGTCTTTTGCCAATTGTACGATTTGTTTTCTTCCATTAAGCCCGTGCTCAATTTTTTCGGGGGTTATTGCCCAACACCCCAATAGGTCCGTCCCTAAGATGCTATCAGGTCTTACAACTTTTCATGTGATGAAAGAATTTGGATATATATGTATTACTCGCGTTGTTGTTGTTTACCAGTATATGTATATTAAACAAATTGTTTTTGCAATTATCTCATGTTTACATTGTTTTGTGCACAGAATTGATTTGTCTTTGATGCTAACTTTAATTATCCTGATAATCTAGACTGGTTGTTTTTCAAATATCATAAAATCCTTGCTAGCTGTCTTCACGTAGAAAAAAATTCAAGAAATGTAGAGGAACAAGGAAATCAATTGTTCTGGAATTAAAAATAGCCTGAGATGCATGTACAGTGTAGATCATTTTTTCCAAAGCCAGTACTAACTTCTTACTGACCATTCGAGCACGAGTCTCTACTAGGGAATATTGGCCCATGGTTGCGGCAGTATAGAAATGCCATAGAGCCAATATTTCCCAGTACAGCTCAAGAAAGCAAGGTAATGGTCATGCACTAATGTCACTTGCACTAAACTAGTGTATTGTGAATTTTCTGGCTTCCAAATAAAAACATAGGCATGCGTAGCATGCAAGAGTTATTTTTTTTGACCGGGTGGGATGAGATGGGACACTTTGTGTACCTAATGTTTTTATTTTTGTAACAGAAAAAGAGCATAGCTTTATAAAAAACGAAAATATTGCATTACTTCACCTTAAGAGAAAGAGAGAAAAACGTAATTTATCTGAACTCACACAGGTATCTTGTGGTCTATTTTCTCTACCGTCGAAATACTTCTGAGCAAAAATAAAATGGATTGGTGCCACGCTTACTGTTTTCTCCTTCGCAGCAGTTGTTTGGTCTCGTCACACAACGCCATCTATTCCCCGACGGAGAGAGAGCACGTAGCGTGATGAGACCAAATAATAGTTGCAAAAGAGAGCCAGAGAGAAAATTAAAATTATTCGTCAACAGTTAGTGCCTGAAAAATATAATTCCATGTAATTTTACCACGAAAAGCAAACTGAAACTCTGTTGTATCTCCAATAGACTCTAACCAAAGGTATATTGCGATCTCGACCAAACGAAGATATCTTTCCCAAGAGAAAAGGATAATATTTGAGAGAGGGCTCCTTGATTGGTTGTTGCCTATCTGGCCTTTGCCCACTGTGTGTGAAATACCTTATAAAATGCAGGTTGTTTACAAGGAATAAACACGCGATTAGATAAAGTCCAAGGTAGTTAAAAGCCGAGTTTATTCGTAGAAAAAGTTAAAACGTGGGATAATTGCGTGAAAAGTTCACTATCAGTAGCATTTAGTGTAAATGTTTTCCAGTGGGGTTGGATATTGCGGTTAGAATACGTGATTAAATGCAAATTGTTTACAAGGAAATGACACGTGATGGAGCGAAGTCTAATTTGGCAAAATTAGCAAGAACTTTGAAGATCCTTGAAGATCCTGGCAAGAAAATGAAAGATCCTTGAAGATCTTAAGAAGAATTTTGAAGATCTTTAAAGGTTCTCATAAAGATCTTGTAGGAACGTTAAAGATCCTTCAAAGATTTTCACCAGGGATGTCATGACAAGGCGAAAAATATAGAAAACGCTCGCCGCATCCGCACTTCTTTTTCGTTGTTTTGGTAGCCACTTTGGAAATTTAGCAAGGTATTTTATGGTAGGTAATTCAAATGTGATTTATTATAGTGTACACGCAAATACGCTCGTCATAAAATCAGCTGTCCATTGTTTGCAACTCTGCACAATTATCCTGATAATATGCGAAACTTTGTTCGACGATTTCCGCTTGCTGACAAGTCTTTCCACTTGATACAATTTTACCCCGGGTTTATATTTCCTGTTGTCTTTAGAAGCAATAATAATCTACACGATCTTTACTTCTTACCGATCGCGCCTTCGGGCATGCTCCGTAGAACTTTGAGTACACCACAGTCAGGAGGTATGGCACTAACGAAATGACTCGGATTAATAGTAATGTTTTCTTTCTTTCATATTGGACTATTTCCTTCTGTCATTGCAAACTAAACTAATAGATAAATATCCGCCACCCAAAATGCCTTCAATGAAAAACTCGAACGAGTAGCACGTGGTGCACTCATGATTTTATGTGGAACAAACAAATACAATTAGGCAATCTCATTTCAAATTTTCGTAAAATTTTCGACTCGAGTTATGACGAACAAGAACGAGGAGCATGTGATTCACTCGTTAATTTATGTAGGACAAAAAAAAAACAAAGAAGACGATCATTTATTCCAAAATGTATGTGCGAACTGGATTTTCATTTTCCACAGGTATGCTGATAAATATTCAGTTACGCTGTGTTCTTAATATAACCTACATTTTTTCAAAAGAAGTCAAATAATGTGTTAAAGAATTTGTATTTTGATTTGTCGCCTGAAATTTTTCTCTACCTGAAAATACCTGCCAAGTTTTTTATCATTTAATAAGCAAGGAGCGTTTTTCATCTTCCCCTCGAAACATGTGTTTATGACAATTGCTTCCTCTTTCAATTTCTATAATGCGAACAGGATGTAACACGTAGACGGTAGTTTATAATCAAAATAAAAAGGAAAAAGGCTTCACATTATCTCGTAACACTCAGTTTTCTTAGTTCTCACTAAATACTCTTCTAAAAAAATAGAGTAAGCAGGGACACAGCACTTTCGATCGATAAAATTTTCATAACTTCCTCTTGTCTGCGATCATATGGCCTAGTGTGTTGTTGCCGGTTCCCTTTGCTGAAAGACCCACATGAAACCAAGACCCCACGCCTCATACCGGATTGTCTATATTTTACAATGTACAAAGTTTTTCTTTGTTAATACAAACTGGCAATGTTACTGATGGAACACTGCGAGTGGGTGAGACAAACCACTTGGTTTAATTAATTATTTCAGAGCTTACCTTAAAACGACGTTTCGTCAACGACGGAGTGTTGAATTCGTCCTTAAGAACCTGTTAAATTTGTAAAATTTTGCAAGACCGAAGATATTTTGATGAGGTCTTCAGAAGGTGACTTATAACAAGAACGGTGTCGAGAGGGTACTCTTTTCTTAGTGATCTCACGACGTAGGAGTATTTGATTTTTTTCCTCTTAAATTTAGCTCGCGATAACTTAGAAGCAACGCTTCGAGCTAGGGATGGCGAGCGTTAAAAATTTCTCGCTGCCACCAAAGGTGTTCACCTCGACCGTGACAGTATGGAAATAACTCACTTTTTGTTTCACGACCATAATGATGTTTTTACCATTGCGTGACATTCTCTGGAAAACCAAAAGTTAATGACACATTGTGAACTTTCCCGAGAAAATGAGTCATAAATAGTGAATAATTCACGGGCGCGCGTAGATGCGAATTTGGTTGATGGAATACAATTCAAGCACGTGAAAAATTGCCAAATGTTCACGTAGTGCAATGATTGGGTATGTTCTAATGGACTTTGCACGTTGTTTTTATGGTACGTGATGGAACGTGAGTTGTTAGGCGTGTTCTTTGTGCGTCAAGGAGCCGTAAAAATACGTTTGACTTAAAAATAATACAAAAAATGAAATGCGAACCGTTCATGTCCCGATAAATCTCGATCGTAATCAACGAGGCTCTCGCGAAGGCCACAAACCACCACACTTATCAAATGAGCTCAAGATTTATGGTTAATGTTATTCTTTGTGCACAGCCCCCTGATCCATTACGCAATAATGATACAATATTTTTAGAACGCCCAAAAGGGGTTATGCGCACAACTTTAGGTGCCCGCTCGTTTCATGCCTATGTGCCTGCGCTGTGGAACAGCTTGCCTGTGCACATCCGCACGATTGATTCGCTAGCGCTATTTAAGAAATCTCTTAAGACCTATCTTTTTAAGCAAGCGTTTTAGATTCGCATTACAATCGTATCGGTATTTTGTAGCTTATTTATTTACTTTTTATTCATTCATTCTTTCATTATGTATTCATTTACTGTCATTATTTTATTTTAGTATTGTTATTGTAATTGTCTATTGTAAATAGCATTTTTATTGTAATTATCTAATGCAATATTAGTTTTCTTGGATTGTAAAGCGCCTTTGATCATTCCATAAATGTTAAAGGGCGCTATATAAGTAAATAAATTATTATTATTATTATTATTATTATTATCCATGACATCATTTATAAGAACATAGGTATGCGTAGCATGGGTGGGTCGAGATGGGACACTTTGTGTACCTAATGTTTTCATTTTTGTAACAGAAAAAGAGCATGACTTTCAAACGGACGAAAATATCGCGTTACTTCACCTTGAGAGAAAGAAAAAAACTTAATTTATCTGAACTCACACCACAAGCAGCCCAGGCTTCAGCTGCGAGATGATCATCTCGCGAAATAAGATTCATGGTGATTTTTTCGGATTTTTTCGGATTTTCTTTATCTGGCGGTGACAAACCTGAGTATTTTTATGAGTTGTGCCGTATTTTGACTTCCCCACAGGCTCGTCAAATTCAAACAAGGAGTGAAAGTACTAGGCAATACTACACACCAATGAATAGTCTACTAGGTTATTTATGATCCAACTGCTTTTTTTTCCCGCTAAGTCTTTCTGCTCATTTCTCATAAGGCGGGAAAAGCAAAGTTGATAGAGAAGCGCAGCGTGCGTAGCCGACCGGTTAAACAGGTTTTTTTTACAGTACACAATAACCAACTGTACACATGCGCTATATACATATTTTTGCGTTATTAGAACTCTACCTTGTGCAGTTGGATTATAGAACCAAATTGTCTTGTTGTACCCCTCACTGACGCAGCACCACAATTTCCTTAGAAACTAAACCCATTTATTCATGCGTTGTTGATTACAATGCCTGCAGCTGGTGCGAGGCCAAAAGCCACCAAAATATACTTAATAAACTGCGCTTGGAGCAGAAATCTCCCAAAAACTCAGCATACTTCGTATACACATACCCTAACAATACTAAAATACTTCTCGAGCGCTTCACATAACATTATTCTCTCACTTTCATACGATCTGATTAGCTATACTTTATTTTTATTATTTCTACATTTTTTTTTATTATTTTACGTAATTTTTTTTTCAGCTCAATGAACAATAGCTTTGTAAAAATAGTTTAAAACATTTGCGCTCGTTTTCTACTCACTTTGAATCAGAAACGTGAATTCAAACTTTCTGCGTCCTTAGAGATAGATTGTGAACGCAGTCTCGTCTGGCTACCACAATCGCAAAACACCTTAGCGATCTCGTGTTTACCAATTTGTTCACCTTCCCTGGAAATGGTTTCTTGTTGCTGTTCACCTTCCTCGAGTGTAACATCAACGACACTACTGTCTTTTACCGCACCTACAAGAGTGGGCATCTCCACTTGTCCTGTTTGCAGTTGATTATCAAGAACATTCGTCTCAACCATACCAGTTACTTCCGCCTGCAGGCCACTGAGGGGGAGGAGCAGGGCCAGGAAGCAGGCGAGGGACCACTGTGGATTTTGTTGCCTTTCCTTGAAATATGCTTACAAATGTAGGAGATACTGAACAAGAAATTAAGATGTATGGGAATGATTTTGAATTCAGAAAACTATAGCTTTACTTTTCAAAACAATATTTTCAACCTGGCAACAATAGAAGAATATCTTCCATAAAGTAATGACATAAACACAAACAGATGACTTTCGCCACCTCAAGTCAGTGACTCAGAAGACCTGCGATCTCATCTTACTTTATTATTTTACTATTATTTCTTAATCCCGACCGACAAACCAAGAACACTACACAATGACCTGGCCAGGTTTCGAACCCAGATCTCTTGACCCGGAGTCCAGCGCACTAACCATTACGCCATCGTGTCTCCCTCATAGGGGTAAAATCACGTGATTCTGCCTCGTCATCATGCGCACTGACGTCGACATAAACTGTCATACAATCAAAGAAAAACAGGAGAGACTCTTCTCAGCTACCTTTTCAAAGACCGTCAACATGACAAACAAGCAAAGTCCAGAAGAAATATCAGCGCTTGACTCAAGCAAACATGGCGACTCGCCGAACTCACTCGGGAAACCCGACTCTATTATCGAAGGAATCTCGCTTATGACTAAGCAACTAGTGTCCTCTATTACCACACTCAACTACTCAATGGACCACTGCCAATGAAGAAGGCTCGGTAAACTCCGACACGGAGAAAGAGACCGACAAGGGGCAAACCAGGACAGCGCTAGCACTAAGGACCAAAACCTATCGGGGTCCAGCAACGCTAATAACGTCAACGATCAGCTGACCAATTCACCCTGAGTCCTTCAAAGAGGAAAACTCAACTCTTGCAGGAATTGCGAGTAATTTAAAATTGGGCCAAAAGAAAGCTCCCGCTGTGAATGCACAATTCGCGGGAATACTGAAAGAGGTCATGCGTGTCAAACTTGATGACGATGTATTGACAGAAACGAAAAATCGTTATACCAGGCCAGTAAATTGCGAGTGCTTGGAGCCAACCCAGGTTAACCATCTCCTCTGGGATAAATTAAAACATGACACACGCTCATGACACAAAGAAGAGATAACATAAAACCAGAGCTCAATGCAGACTACAGTGTTCACCTACAGTGCCATTCACAGATTTTCCTATTCGGAGATGAGCCTGACCTCTCTAAGCAGCTAAAAGATCTAGCTGAAGCCACTAAGGTTAGCAAGAAAATAAGCAAGAACAGTGAATCAAAACAAGATTCATACAGAGGTCAAAATTACAGCCATAAGTCCTACAAGAATAATAGAGGCAGGAAGTTTGGTTACAAGTACTCACAAAATAAACAATTAAACTCAAAAAGGCCCAGCTTCTCAACTCACAAACAAAAGGAGGAGGGGAAGAAGCACAAATAAGGCCTCAAGACCCCTCAACAACAACCGAACAGATAAAAAACACATTTATTGCTGGCAGGTTGAAAGAGCTTATCCCAGAATGGCATAAAATAGCCTCTGACCCAGAGGAGCTTGACTGGGTACAACATTGTCATATTGAATTTATTAATAGGAGTAACAGAGAAATGCTCCCACTTAGAGGGGGAGTTCATATCTCCAATATTTTGCAGACTGAAATAGAAAAAAATTGATTATCGCATGATCTCGAATCTAAAAGATCTAAACAAGTTTGTTGTATACAAACACTTTAAAATGGAATCCTTGAATCAGTTCAGGAACTTACTACACCAGGTTGTTTTATGGCATCAATAGACATCAAAGATGCCTACTATTCAGTACCAATTGCTATAGAGCACCAGAAATTTCTCAGGTTTGTGTGGAGGGACAACCTCTATCAATATGTGTGTCTACCAAATGGGTTAAGCTCTGCACCCCGTATATTTACCAAGCTGCTTAAACCTGTGTTTAAAGTCCTTAGAGAAAAAGGCCTCTTGTCATCTGCATACATAGATGATCTTTATCTGCAAGGAGATACCTTTCATGAGTGTCATGAAAATGCCTTGAACACAGTGCAACTGCTTAGAGATCTTGGAACGTCTTGTCTGCATCCCTCTCAACAACTCGAATATTTAGGCTTTGTCCTAAACTCAGTGTCGATGACGGTACGACTCTCTCATGCTAGAGTTGAGAAGGTGGTCCAAGCATGTGAAAAACCTTCTCAGTAACTCCCATCCCACCATACTTCATCTAGCAGAGGTTATTTGGCTTATGGTCTCCAGCTTCCCCGCCGTGGAACATGGCCCATTATACTACCGTAGCCTTGACATTGAGAAAATTGAGAGTTTGAGACAAACTAAAGGCAATTTCTCTGGTGAAATATCTCTACCTGTTAATTCAAGAGAGGAACTGCAGTGGTGGATTGCAAACCTACCTTTTTCCTGTAAGGCAATCTCTAATGGTGAAGCTGATATAGTAATCCAAACTGATGCCTCTTCTCAAGGTTGGGGAGGGGTGCATGGTGACCAGAGAGCAGGAGGCAGATGGACTCCCACAGAAGCACTAAATCACATCAATTACCTTGAACTGCTCGCTATATTTTTATCCCTCAAAGCTTTGTGTGTTGCACACAAAAATAAACACATCCAGGTGCAATGTGACAACATTACTGCAGTGTATTACATAAATAACATGGGTGGAATGAAATCCATTCCATGTAATGAGGTAGCTAAACAAATCTGGGCCCTGTGTATTGCTTATAATAACTGGCTCAGAGCTACATATTTATCTGGATGTAAAAATGTAGAAGCTGATGCAGAATCTAGGGTATTTAATGACCGCACAGAGTGGATGTTAGATCCACAGATATTCAAGAGGATTACCAATAAGTTTGGTAGTCCTGAAATTGACCTCTTTGCATCCCGTTTGAATAAACAATATGCCAAATACTCATCATGGCGTCCAGACCCGGAAGCTTTGTTCGTGGATGCATTTTCTGTAAATTGGAATAATTTATTCTTTTATGCATTTCCTCCTTTTAGTCTAATTGGGAGATGTCTGGAGAAATTACATGCAAACCAAGCAGAGGGCATTCTTATAGTGCCACGGTGGATGAGCCAAAGCTGGTTCCCCAAACTACTCAGACTGCTGGTGGAGGCATCCATTGTTATTCACCCCAAGAAAGAGACAGTACGATTCGCCAAATATCCAGCGGCCATGGAACAGAGTGACTACTGTAAAAGGCATACAGCAGGTACACATCAGAATATCGCTCACAGCCAGAGCTATTACGAACATGTTGGTGATTGTTCGCAGCCTGTGGTTTCTGTACACGGCGTGAAAAGTGAGAAGATTTCCGAAGACAGCCATAACATTAGTAAAAGCAAACAGAACTGTTTCAGTCCAAACTAACGCCTCCTCTCTTGTGGCAAGCTCAAGGGAGAGTTTACTTGTCATCACTGCTTTTGGTCAATAAGCTCAGTGAAAAGATAAGTAATTTACACTTTTGCACAGTCTTTGATGTCTACTTTTTGAAGCAGTGATCGGCGAAACCCGCTGGTGTGCGCGATTACCAACACTGTCTACCAACACCGAAAAACAAATGTTATTTTCCATCACGTCCTATCTTTAAACACATTGCAATTAATGAATATTTAGAGATGTCTGTATGTCATCGTTGTTATCATTCTCATCAAGTTGGAAGTTGTAGGGCAAAATAACAACACCACTTTATGTTTCTGTTAGGCGAGAGCACGTGCGTTGTTGTTGAAAGAGGTTTGTTTTAATTATACTCAGTTATTTACCTGCGGATAGGTGTTTTTGGGTCGCTTTTATTACTAGACATATCTCTTTCGAGTGAAAGAACAGACGTTGCTTCTATTTTTTCGTATCTTGTCGAAACAATTTCTTTACACAGCTGATTAATAAACAAACATATTATTCCGCCGCTCACGAAAGGGATAAGATATCTTGAAGAGTTTGAACAACTCTCATTTCTGCGATAAAAAATAGCTTAAAAATTAAATCACTCTCTCAGAAAAAATTGAGATTCAGTTTGTTATTAATAATTTTTGGCATTGTATAGGGAAATTAACTTTTTTTGATAGCCATAGAAGATCGTAGAAGTTAAATGACAGAAAAATTTGAAATTTTAATTTAAACCACCTTTAATTTATGCTTGAATTAAAAATTCTAAAACCGAGAGGATATTGGAAGAACAAATTGTTATCGAATAAAGAAGCGGAAAAGTCAATATAAGCTTTAAATTAAGCATTGGTTCACAGCCTTCTCAAATTTATTTGTGTATCCAGAATAAAAGAGGAAGTTAGAAAAATCGTCGTCTAGAAACTTCCCTAACTGTAATATTACAACGTTCTAGACAGTAATTAAGTTGAGTAAACAGAGATGTTATCTTGTAGACAACACTCACCAAAAAAACTTCTACAAATAAATTCTACAAATAAAAGTAGTTTTATTTGGAAAAACACGCCCTGATAAAGGTTTGGAAACCAATTTTATGACTCGGCAAACTCTTCAATATCACTGAAATAACTTCCTGAAACAAAGAATCGACGCCATCTTGACTTTTACTTTGGATAAAAGAAAAATAATTAATTTTTTTTTCAATGACAACCGCGTGAATATGATGATCAAATGTCTCAGACAAAATTTACGAAGACTGTGAAAGACTGACTATCTGGAAAATCGCCTTCTGTCATTCTCCAACATTCAGAGCCATATATCAGGGTGGATAGGACACAGCTATGATATAGTTTTAGCCTGGTCTTGGTGCTCTGCTGCTGGGACCTCCATACATAGTTGAGCATTCTGACTACATTTATGGCTTTCACTAAGCGGTTCTTGATGTCCTTGTTTGCTCTTCCATCATGTCTGACTGTGTTGCCTAGGTACGTGAATTCCCCCGTCGTTGGAAGATCCTCTCTGTTCGCTCTGATCAGCTGGGGGTTTGGGACATTCAGAATCATAACTTCCGTCTTGTTTTAGCTGATCTACAGGCAAATCTGTTTAACAAGGCCACAGAGACGGGATGTTTTCTCTTGCTTATGATGATAGGTGTGAGATAGCAGCGCCTGGTCATCAGCAAAGTCGAGGTCCTCGTATGCAGAGAATAATGTCTATCGGATGCCTCTGGTCTGGTCTTCAGTTGTTCGCTGCAGCACCCAAACAATCGCAATGTTGAAGAAGAGTGCTGACATCACACACCCTTACCTCACTCCAATTGTCATTCTAAAGCTGAGTGTTCTTACCTCTGCTCGTGAAGTTGTCGTAAACGCTCTTATTGAGAAGAAATAGGCAAGTACACAGTTACGATACAAGAAAACCAATTGCTATCGACCACATAACTCTCGTACAAGGATAATGGCAATAAAACGTGACAGATTGCCTAGTTGCATATTAAGTTAGGTTTTTCAATCTCCATCACATACAACATTTAATACTAATCTACGTAGACTTAACTAACTGACCAATAGAAACGTTCCCTTAATTTATTCAGTCACACTGTGCGCTCGATATTTGATGTTTGTGCACAATCAGTAAATTCCCATAACACACCGCTGCCCCGCTGTTTTCATATTTGTTTGTTATTGACTTTGATAACCACTCTCTTCTACTCAATAATATTGTAATGATATGAATTTTTGAATAATTATGAATGAGAAGAGGGGAATCAAAAATAGAAAAAAAAGAAAATAACAGAAAAAGAATAAACATTTTGAAATGAAGCTACAAATAATTAAATTTATCGTTTAGTTTTATTGTTGAAAATACTCTAAGAGAGAATCCACTCTCAAAAAGAAAAGCAATAATCCCTCTGTCTTACTTTGTTACACACAAAAAGTTGTCGTCAAAGCATCTTTTTTGATCTGATTTTTTTGTTTCTGAAAGGATTTGCTACTAGGAAAGACAATGTCGCAAAAATAGTTAAATATCATATTTTTTCTTTAGCTACATCGATTTTTGAAAGAAATAAAATTAAAACAAAAGATTAAAAGGTCAAGACTGAGGATGGTGACAATAATTTATGGATGACAGTCATCCATTTATGGATGACTTTCAACGTTGTGGCTGCTGTTGTTATTGCCATTTTGGCGCCGAAAGAAAGTAATCTTGCGCAAAAGGGCCTTGAACTCTTGCCTGAACTGTCTGTTCATGATACCGTAAATGAATGGGTTGATAGCGTTACTCAGATAAACCAAGAACGCGTACGTCAAGTAAACCTGTCGTGGTATCGTGGGTTCTCCGCGCGCGGCGTCCACGTTATCCACGACTGAGATAGGAAGCCAGCAGCACGCGAAGCCAAGCAGAACTGCTACTAAAGTTTTCGTTACTTTTGCTTCTTCCACATTCGCGCGGAGTTGACTGGGGTTAACGCCTGGACAGAAAACACGATTTGATCTTGAAACTGAGCGGAACACTTTGACATAGGAGACCGCTATGATTGTTAAGGGTGCTGCGATGTAAACACATTCGATTGTAACAGTGTAAGCCATGTTGCTTTCAAACGTGTACAAACACATTGCTTTTCCAGGCTGGAATTTAAAGCTATTTTTGCCCTCAAAGAAAAACGGGGGCACAGATCCGGCGAAAGCCAGGCACCACACAATGACAATGTATATCAACGCTCTTTGCTTCTTAAACAACAAGAGATACTTCTCTGGTTTTACAACGCAGAAGAATCGGTTGACCGCAATAACACCCATGGTAACCATGGCGACAATTCCGAAAGTCAGCACGGCAAAACCTTGAAAGAGACAGTAAGATTCGCCAAATATCCACCGGCCATGGAACAGAGCGACAACTGTAAAAGGCATACAGCAGGTACACATCAGAATATCGCTCACAGCCAGAGCTATCACGAACATGTTGGGAATTGTTCGCAGCCTGTGGTTTCTGTACACGGCGTAAAAAGTGAGAAGATTTCCGAAGACAGCCACAACATTGGTAAAAGCAAACAGAACTGTTTCAGTCCAAACTAACGCCTCCTCTCTTGTGGCAAGCTCAAGGGAGAGTTTACTTGTCATCGCTGCTTTTGGTCAATAAGCTCAGCGAAAAGATAAGTAACTTACACTTTTGCACAGTCTTTGATGTCGACTTTTTGAAGCACAGATCGGCGAAACCCGCTGGTGTGCACGATTACCAAGACTGTCTACCAACAACGAAAAACAAATGTTATTTTCCATCACATCCTATCTTTAAACACATTGCAATTAATGAATATTTAGAGATGTCTGTATGTCATCGTTGTTATCATTCTCATCAAGTTGGAAGTTGTAGGGCCAAATAACAACTCCATTTCATGTTCCTGTCGGCGAGAGCTCGTGCAGTACGTCGTTATTGCTGAAAGAGGTTTGTTTTAATTGCACTCAGTTATTTACCCCCGGATAAGTGTTGTTGAATCGCTTTTAATAATCGACATATCTTTTTCGAGTGAAAGAAAAGATGTTGCTTCTATTTTTCCGTATCTTGTCTAAACAATTTCTTCACACAGCTGGTTAATAAACAAACATATTATTCCGCCGCTCACGAAAGGGATAAGATATCTTGAAGAGTTTGAACAACTCTCATTTCTGCCATAAAAAATAGCTGGAATAAAACTAAAACTCTCTCAGAAAAAAAAGAAATTGAAATCCAGTCTGTTATTAGCAATTTTCGGCATAGTATGGGGGAACTAATTTTTTTGATGGCCATATAAGATCGCGGAGGTTAAGTGACAGTCAAATTCGAAATTTTAATTTAAACCACCTTAACTTTCTGCTTAATTTTAAAACCTTTGTTCTAAAACCGAGAGGATATTTTAAGAACATCTTGTTATCAAATAAGGGAGCGGAAAAGTCGATCTAAGCTCTAAATTAACCATAAGTTTACAGACTTATAAGAGCTAGAAAAATACATTTACTTTCGCGTATCCAAAACGAATTTAAAAGAACTCATGAAATTCAATCATAATTCTTTGTCAAATGAAAATGAAAATAGTCGGCTTAGAAACTTCTTAAACTGTAATGTAACAACGTACGAAACAGAATTTAAATTCATTGAAATTCAATCATAATTCTTTGTCAAATGTCTTAAAATGAAAATTGTAAAGCTGCGAGTAAACATGGATATCTTGTAGACAACACTCATCAAAAAAACTGTTCTAGCGGTTCTAGAAGAAAATTAAAGTTTTATTTGCAAAATATCTCCTTGATAAAGATTTGGAAACCAATTTTACGAGTCGGCAAACATTTTAATATCACTAAAATCGCTTCCTGAAACAAAGAATTGACGCCATCTTGACTTTTAGTTTGGATAAAAGAAAAAAATTTGTAAGTTTTTTTAATAACAACCGCGTGAATACGATGATCAAATGTGAGCCAAATTTACAGCTTTTCGCATTTTTTAACGACCAGACATTGTTGAGTCCAGCGCGCAAACCAAAGGGCGCTGTGTCTAACACAAAATTTAAGGAGACTGTGGAAGACTGACCATCTGCAAGGATCGCCTTCTGTCATTCTCCAGCATTCGGAGCCACATATTAGGGTGGATAGGGCACAGCTAGGATATAGTTTTAGCCTGATCTTGGTGCTCTACTGCTGGGACCTTCATACATAGTTGAGCATTCTGACTACATTATAGTGTGAGATATAGCAGCGCCTGGTCATCAGCAAAGTCGAGGTCCTCGTATGCAGAGAATAATGTCTATCGGATGCCTCTGGTCTGGTCTTCGGTTGTTCGCTACAGCACCCAAGCAATCGCAATGTTGAAGAGGAGTGCAGACACCACACACCCTTTCCTCACTCTAATTTTCATTCCAAAGCTGAGCGTTCTTACCTCTGCTCGTGAAGTTGTCGTAAACGCTCTTAATGAGAAGAAATAGGTAAGTACACAGTAATGATACAAGAATAGCCAATTGCTATCGACCACATAACTGTCGTACTAATCTTAAACAATTTACAATACCAGGGTCCTAAAATTTGGCATTCTCTCCAAATCAAATCGATCACTGGTTTGACTAGCTTTTTTACTTTTAAAAGAAAGATGATTGATTTCTTAATGAAACGAGTCCCAATTGGCCAAGCCGCATATCCACATCCACAACTTAATTACAAACATAATGACAACCGAGGGGGCCTCCCCTATTAGCTTGGTGGTTTCTTGGAGGTCTCCTCGACCTACCATACTGTTAAACCTGTATTAAACCTATCTAAATGTTATATCTCGTGTGACTAGTAAAAAAACTATGATGATGAAGATGATGAAATATTTGCAGCAGAATCCCGCACAAGAGACTACCTCTGTGGATGCTGTCAACTGCTTTGTAAAAGTTAACGCACAGCTGTCTTTTCCACTCTATGCGTTGTCTGATAATGTTGTGAAGAGTAAAAGATCTGATCGGTACATCCCTTCCGGTTCCTGAACCTTACTTGTTCCTTCCGGAACTCTTGGTCCACTGTGTTTGATATCCACTTGATGATGATCTCAGCCAAGATTTTTCTTGCAACTGATAAGAGGGTAATTCCCCGCCAGATGCTGCAACCACTAAGGGTGCCTGACTTTGGGATCCTCCCAATGACTTCCAGGTTTGTGCAAAGTATTTATTTTGTCACTCTTTTCGGTAATTCAAGCCAGTCTACAAATCAACAAAGGTTCGTGTAAAGAAACTCAGATGTTCCAATTTTACCAGTAACAACCTCCAACAAAATCTGAGAAAAAAACTATCATACTACACCAGGTCTTGTGTCATTTCAGTTAAGCGTCGTTGTTTTCGTTGTTGGCTCGGCATTTGAAGCCAAAACGAATGGTACATTAGCTGCTTTATTTTTCGCTAATCATTCTGTAAAGTTGTAATCGGACAGTGTAATCAAACAGTTGGCTGTAATCGGACAGTTGAAGCAACCAGTCACACTAAGTCCACTCAGCTAAATCCACCAATCACAGAATTGATCACAATGAAAACAGCAACAACCACTTATCGTAAAAAAAATGTGGAATTTTTAAAATTGAGGAATTTTGTTCCATTGTTTCTACGCGAGATACTTGTTCTAAATATATTTGTTGTTTCCAGAAACTGTAACGGTTATGGTTAATTGGTAACAAGACTTTGTGTCGTCCAATACTGTATGTAATCATACTCGTGACAAATCCCACTCCTGCTTCGTAGTCGTCCGATTTTGCTAATCACTTGTTTAATTACAGATCGAATTGGACTCCACTTCGTCCTATTACCATTACTGTTCAAAACTATAGCACAGCTCTCGAATGAGATGGGTTGACAACAGCCCGACTTGCGCTCTTATAGGAAAATGTAAGCGTCATTTCCGTGTAATCAGACAGAAATATTTGCTGTTTGCTGAGAATGGTGAAAATAATTCATGCATCATTTTCAGCGTTGTGGCTGCCGTTGTTGTTGCCATTTTGGCGTCGAAAGCAAGTAATCTTGCACAAGAGGGCCTTGTACTCTCGCCTGAACTGTCTATTCATGATACCATAAATGACTGGGTTGATAGTGCTACTCAGATAGATCAAGAACCCGTTCGTCAGGTAAACCTGTCGTGGTATTGCCAGTTCTCCGCGCACGGCGTCCAAGATATCCATAACGAAGATAGGAAGCCAGCAGCACGCGAAGCCAAACAGAACTACTACTAAAGTTTTCGTTACTTTTGCTTCTTCCACATTCGCGCGGAGTTGACTGGGATTAACGCCTGGACAGAAAACACGATTTAATCTTGAAACTGAGCGGAACACTTTGATATAGCAGACCACTATGATTTTTAAGGGCGCAGCGATGTAAAGACATGCGATTGTAAACGTGTAAGCCATATTTCTTTCAAACGTGTACGAACACATTGCTTTTCCAGGCTGGAATTTAAAGCTATTTTTGCCCTCAAAGGAAAACGGGAGCACAGATCCAGCGAAAGCCAGGCACCACACAATGACAATGTATATCAACGCTCTTTGCTTCTTAAACACAAAGAGATACTTTTCTGGTTTTACAACGCAGAAGAATCGGTTGACGGCAATGACACCCATGGTAACTATGGAGACCATCGCGAGAGTCAGCGCGGCAAAACCTTGAAAGAGACAGTAAGATTTGCCAAATATCCACTGGCCATGGAACAGAGCGACAACTGTAAAAGGCATACAGCAGGTACACATCAGAATATCGCTGATAGCCAGAGCTATTACGAACATGTTGGTAACTGTTCGCAGCCTGTGGTTTCTGTACACGGCGTAAAAAGTGAGAAGATTTCCGAAGACAGCCACAACATTGGTAAAAGCAAACAGAACTGTTTCAGTCCACACTAACACCTCCTCTCTTGTGGCAAGCTCAAGGGAGAGTTTACTTGTCATCACTGCTTTTGGTCAATAAGCTCTAGCTCGGCGAAAAGATTATTAATTCAGTTACACTTCTGCACAGTCTTTGTTGTCGACTTTTTGAAGCAGTGATCGGCGAAACCCGCTGGTGTGCGCGATTACCAACACTGTCTACCAACACCGAAAAACAAATGTTATTTTCCATCACATCCTATCTGTAAACACATTGCAATTAATGAATATTAAAAAATGTCTGTATGTCATCGTTGTTATCATTCTCATCAAGTTGGAAGTTGTAGGGCCAAATAACAACTGTTTCTGTTCGGCGAGAGCTCGTGCGGTATGTCGTTGTTGCTGAAAGAGGTTTATTATAATTGAACTATGTAATTTAACTCCGGATAAGTGTTGTTGAATCGCTTTTAATATATCGACATATCTCTTTAGAGTGAAAGAAAAGATGTTGTTTCTATTTCTCCGTATCTTGTCTAAACAATTTCTTCACACAGCAGGTTAATAAACAAACATATAATTACGCCGCTCACGAAAGGGATAAGATATCTTAAAGAGTTTGAACAACTCTCATTTCTGCAGTAAAAATAGCTGGAAAAAACTAAAACCCTCTCTCAGAAAAAAAAATTGAAGTCCAGTCTGTTATTAACAATTTTCGGCATCGTATGGGGGAACTAATTTTTTTTGGATGGGCATATAAGATCGCGGAGGTTAAGTGACGGTCAAATTTGAAATTATAATTTAAGCCACTCTAAATTTCTGCTTAAATTAAAAACCTTTGTTCTAAGACCGAGAGGATATTGTAAGAACATCTTGTTATCAAATAACGAAGCGGAAAAGTCAATCTAAGCTCTAAATTAACCATAAGTTTACAGCCTTCTTACATTTATTCACGTATCTAGAACAAAAGAAGAAGTTAGAAAAATCGTCGGCTTAGAAACTTAGAAACTGTAATATAACAACGTAATAAACAGTAAATTAGTCGTTTACCTAAACTCATGAAATTCAATCGTAATTCTTTGTGGAATGTCTTAAAATGAAAATTGTAAAGCTGCGAGTAAACAGAGATGTTATCTTTTAGACAACACTGACTCATCAAAAAAACTGTTCTAGCGGTTCAAGAAGAAAATTAAAGTTTTATTTGAAAAATATCTCCCTGATAAAGGTTTGGAAACCAATTATACGAGTCGGCAAACTCTTCAATATCACTGAAATCGCCTCCTGAAATAAAGAATTGACGCCATCTTGACTTTTAGTTTGGACAAAAGAAAAAATTCATAAGTTTTTTTTTCATTAACAACCGCGTGAATACGATGATCAAATGTGAGCCAAATTTCTAGCTTTTCGCTTTTTTTAACGGGAACTGTATCTAACACAAAATTTAGGAAGACTATGGAAGACTGACCATCTGCATGGATCGCCTTCTGTCATTCTCTAGCATTCAGAGCCACATATTAGGGTGGATGCGACACAGCTATGATATAGTTTTTGCCTGATCTTGGTGCTCTACTGCTGGGACCTCTATACATTGTTGAGCATGCTGACTACATTGATGACTCTCACTAAGCGGTTCTTGATGTCCTTGCCTGTTCCTTCATCATGTCTGACTGTATTGCCCAGGTACGTGAATTCCATTTCTAATCAGCCGGGGGTTTGGGACATTCGGAATCATAAATTCCGTCTTGTTTTGGCTGATCTTCCTGATCTTCTGTCGTACTAATCTTAAACAATTTACAATACTCTAACAGGGTCCTTAAGGCTGTATAAATGTTATATCTGAAGTGACTAATAAAATGATGATGATGATGATAATGATGAAATATTTGCTGCAGGATCCAGTACAAGAGACTATCTCTGAGGATGCTGTCAACTTCCACTCTGTGCGTTACCTGATGATGTTTGAAAAGTAAAGATCTGGTCGGTGCAACCCTTTCCTTTCCTGAACCTTACTTGTTCCTTCACGAACGCTTGGTCCACCGTGTTTTATATCCACTCGATGATGATCTCAGCCAAGATTTTTCTTGGAACTGATAAGAGGGTAATTCCCCGTTAGATGCTGCAACCACTAAAGGTGCCTGACTTTGGGATCCTCACGATTACTTCCAGTTTTGTGTAAAGTATTTATTTTTCTCAATCTTTTTGGTAATTCAAGCCAGTCTACAAGTCAACATGGTTTCGTGTAAAGACACTCAGATGTTCCAATTTTACCAGTAACAACCTCGGACAAAATCTCCATACTACATCAGGTCTTGTGCCATTTCAGTTCAGCGTCGTTGTTTTCGTTGTTAGCTCGGCATTTGAAGCCAAAAATCTTCCAGAAAACAACCTTATACTCTCGTCTGAACCTCTTATCTGTGGCACAATACATGAAGGGGTTTATCGTGCTACTCAAATAAACCAAAAAGCCGTATGTTAAGTAAGCTGGTCGTGGTAGCGTGGGCTCTCCATGCGCCATGTCGATATTGTCGACGATGAAAATAGGAAGCCAGCAGTATGCAAAGCCGACTACAACTGCAACCAAACGCTTCGTTACTTTGGCTTTAGCAAATTTTAAAATTTGTCAGGTGCCCGATTAACAAGCCCAACTCCAAGGAATGTAATTATGAGCTGTGTGCACTGAAATCAAATAAAAAGACCCCTTACAATATGTTTGCTGTTAAAATAACGGATATTCCTTGGAAAGGAAACAGTTCACTTTGTACGAATTCTTAGTTTAAACTTAACAAAATTTTGGCGTAATTATTTGAACAAGTATCAGTCTATTTAATTAATTATAGGGTTTGACGGGAGTAGGTTACTGTATGTTGAATGTGTTGAACATTTGAATGACAGTTAAGTACGTTTAATTAAGGATATTTCTGAGAAAAAGTTCACTTCCAATTTTGCATTGTTCAAAGCAACAATTTCTCACTTACAGTGGATAATAATGATGAAGACGACATCGAAACTCAAACAGTCATGTCCCGGCTGAGTTATGATTGAAGAAATTTACTCAAATTTGCGGACATCTGTTTTAAGATGTTCCTTTCGATTATCTCTAGTTTGGCCCCGAGCTTCAGAGAAGTCATTGGAGGGCACAGGAAATTAACCTCAATAAGAAAAGTGTAAATGAACAGAGAAATGTTTTAAACTGATATCCATATACAAACAAAAATTCACTTTTACATAAATAACAGTTTTGCTCGAGAACAAAATTCCTCTTTTAAATTAAAAAGAGACTATCTCTATGGATGCTGTCAACTGCTTTGTAAAAGTTAATGCACAGCTGTCTTTTCCACTCGTTACCTGATGATATTTTGATAGTAAAGATCTGTTCGCTACATTCCTTTCCTTCCCTGAACCTTACTTGTTCCTTCCCGAGCTCTTGGTCCACTGTGTTTACATTCACTTGATGATGATCTTAGCCAAGATTTTTCTTGGTACTGATAAGAGGGTAATTCCCCGCCAGATGCTGCAATCACTAAGGGTGCCTGTCTTAGGGATCCTCCAAATGACTTCTAGGTTTGTGCAAAGTATTTATTTTGTCACTCTTTTCGGTAACTCAAGCCAGTCTACAAATCAACATGGGTTCTTGTGAAGACCTTCAAATGTTTCCAATTTTACCAGTAACAACCTCAGTTAAAATCTCAGAAAAAAAACTACCACTACACCAGGTCTTGAGCCATTTCAGTTAACCGTCGTTGTTTTCGTTGTTGGCTCGGCATTTGAAGCTAAAAATCTTCCAGAAAACAGCCTTATACTCCCGTCTGAACCTCTTATCTGTGGCACAATATATGAAGGGGTTTATGGTGCTACTCAAGTAAAGCAAAAAGCCATATGCTAAGTAAGCTGGTCGTGGTAGCGTGGGCTCTTCATGCGCCATGTCGATATTGTCGATGATGAAAATAGGAAGCCAGCAGCATGCAAAGCCGACTACAACTGCAACCAAACGCTTCGTCATTTTGGTTTCCTCCACATTCACATTCCTACCACATTTCTCTGGCTATTTCAGTTAGGCGTCACCGTTCTCCCTGTTGTCTCGGCATTTAAAGGTAAAAATCTTCCTCAAAACAACCTTATACTCTCGTCTGAACCTCTTATCTGTGGCACAATATATGAATGGGTTTATGGTGCTTAGGTAAATTGAGAAAACACGATTTGATCTTGACAAAAACGGCATGCGGAACAACTGCTACCAAACGCTTCGTCACTTTGGCTTCTTCCACATTAGCAGATCTCTGATGATAATCTTGATGATAATCAAGGGTGTTGTGATAAAACAGCAGTGCATAAAGACAGAGTAAGCAATGTTACTTTCAAATTTGTACAGACACATTGCTTTTCCTGGCTGGAATTCAACGCTGTTATTTTTGAAGACTAATATGGGCACAGATCCAACCAGAGCCAAGCACCAAACAATGAAAATGTACATCACGGATCTTTGCTTCTTAAACAGCGAGGGATACTTTTCCCGATTAACAACACAGAAATATCGGCTGACTGCAATTGCTGCCATAGTTCCAACACTACTCGTCCCAAATGTAAATATATCAAATGCTTGCCAGCGACAGACTGTGTCACCAAAGATCCACCTACCGTGGAAAAGACTTGCAACTGTAAAAGGTATACAGATAGTAGACATCAGAATATCACTTAGAGCCAGAGCTATCAGGAACATGTTGGGAATCGTGCGCAGCCTGTGGTTTCTGTACACAGCATAAAAAGTGAGAAGATTTCCGAGGATGGCCACAACATTGGTAACAGCAAACAAAACTGTTTCAGTACAAACTAACGCCTCCGTCCTCGTGGCGAGCTCAAGGGAAAGTGTGTTTCTCCTCATCTCCTTTGGTCGATAAGCTCAGCGAAAAGATAAAAAAAAAACTATACCGTTGCGAAGTCTTCGTTGACGACTTTTTGAATCATTAATCGCTAAAACCTTCGGTGCGCGAGCGATTTTGTCTGCTGGGATGAAAACAGATGTCATTCTCTCATAAATCTTATCTCTATACCCATTGCAGTAAATAAATATTGAGCAATATTTAATATTGAACTATGTAATTATGTCAACGTTGTAAGGCAAAAAAAAGATCGATTTTATATTACTTCGGGAACATCCACGTATTTTTTATCGTTGATGTTAAAAGAGGTTTGTTTTAATTGTTCTCACTTGTTTAACTTTTATATAAGTGCTAGTGAGTTGCTTTTAATATTTGGTTTATCCCTTTTGAGTGAAAGAAAAGCTATTCATTCTGTTTAGCCATTTCTTGTTCGTACACATCAGCATTTACAGGTTCCTGTTAGTAAACAAACGTTATCCGACGATTTCGTCGTTCACAAAAATGAGAAAATACTTTAGAAAGCTTCAACAATTTTATTTCCTCAAACAAAATTACTGAAAAAAAGAAGAATTACGAAAATCAAAGGAAACTTTGTGATCCAGACTGCAACTTTTGGTAAAAATTTGTTTTTCGGCATAGTAGAGGGGAAGTATTTTCTTTTGATAAGCATATAAGATCGCGGAAGTAGAGTGTCAGTAAAATTTGAAGTTGTTTGAACCACCTCACGTTTCTGCTTGAAACATTTGGAACGTTAATTAAAAACCGTGGGGATGTTGTCTGAACATCTTCTTTCTAAATATTGAAGCCAAAAAGTCATTTTACGTCCTAAATTAACCTTAAGTTGACATAATTCTTTCTCGTGTTGCGGTGGAAACCAACAAGTTTTAACAAGGTTGGCCGAAGATATGAAAATCGTCGCTTTAGCACATTGCTTAACAGTATTTATATCGTTTGAATTCAACTAAATCAACTCATGTCGCAACAATTTTTAAAAATGCATAAAAAGAAACTGTTTCACCTTGGAGAGGACAGAGATGGTCTCTCGCTGATGATACACATTAAAAAAAACTGTGGAATACAGCTGTTTTTGTTTAAAGAGTTAATACCAGCTTGCAGTAATAAAGTTCTGGGAAAAAAATTTTGAGCGTCTTCGTAAAAATCTGCCCTATACCAGCTAAAGCGCTTGAATATTATCAAATAACGGCAAAATTGGACGCGTTTGACATTTCGTCTCTCAATACCAACGCAAAAATTAATCTAATGTAAAAAAGACATGATTTCAAGCTACTTTGTCGTCACATTTCGTTACCATAGCTACCTACTTGTGCCTTTAATTAACTAAAACATTTCAAAATGCCCTTGAACTCTCTCCTCAGTTGCTCACTCAATGCACTATAAATGAAGAGGGTTGATGGTGCTGCTTCGGTAAGCGAAGAACCCATATGTAAGGGACACTTCTCGCGGCAACGTGAGTTCCACGCGCGAGGCTTCATTCATGTCAATCACATGTGTCGGGGGGAGGGGGGGAAGGAATTGGTTGATGTTTGGGGAGTTACGTAGTTCTCAGGGGAAAGACAAGGGGGATCAGTCGTTGACAACAGAATATAAAGGGTGGAGCCCAAGCCTACAGGAGATTCACCACCATTGACTTTGCAAAATAACTGGCGAAAAAGAACTGGTGACAGCTTCTAAATGAGGTAACAGGAGACTTGTAGTAACTTGAAATAAATCTTAGAGTTCCTGGACTTTTTATGATAATTTTGTCTCGGGTGTAAATCGTCTTACAAAGATAAGTTCACTCTATTATGTCATCGTGAAACCTGATTGTATCGTTCAAAGCATAACGAAAAGAAAGTTGAACAAGAAAGTAGCATGTGTATGATTCGTTGCATTAACCTGATACAGTTTAAAGCGCCGCTGATAATAGACTTGTGGCGCAGTTCCCCATGCCGTGAGCGTTGCTTCAGCATTACTTGCAGCTTTTTTTTCGCCGTTTTTGCCGTTTTTTTTTTGCCGTTTTTGCCGAGTTAGTTTCAGCGAAGGATTTTAGGCTATGTAAGAAGCAATAGCTTCGAATCGTCGCTGGATGGATCCTTATTGGTCATTCGCTGTGATTATCCTGTACAAGAATACAAGGAATCAGGACACATAGAAGTTTTTGTGTCGCATTTATTTTGCCAAGCGCAGCTGGCCCTTACAGCATGAAAGAAGAATGCAACAAATGCGGAGGAATTGTAACTAGCAATTGAATCCGGAATGGGGAGTCGAAACTATGAAAGGTGCTCAGAAGAACTTTCCATATGACGACAACATTGACGGAACATTTCTCAGGTGCCCGATTAACAAACCTTATTCCAGGGAATGTAATCATGAGCTGTGTGCACTGAAATCAAATAAAACTTTATAGTCCACTGTGTTTGATATTCACTTCATGATGATCTTGGCCAACATTTTTCTTGGAACTGATAAGAGGGTAATTCCCCTCCAGATGCTGCAATCACTAAGAGTGCCTGTCTTTGGGATCCTCCATATGACTTCCAGGTTCATGCAGAGTATTTATTTTGTCACTCTTTTCGGTATTTCAAGCCAGTCTGCAAATCAACATGGGTTCGTGTAAAGATCTTCAAATGTTTCCAATTTTACTGGTGAAAACCTCAGTTAAAATCTCAGAAAAAACTACCACTACGCCAGGTCTTGCGCCATTTCAGTTAACCGTCGTTGTTTTCGTTGTTGGCTCGGCATTTGAAGCTAAAAATCTTCCAGAAAACAGCCTTATACTCCTGTCTGAACCTCTTATCTGTGGCACAATATATGAAGGGGTTTATGGAGCTACTCACGTAAAGCAAAAAGCCATATGCTAAGTAAGCTGGTCGTGGTAGTGTGGGCTCTCTGTGCGCCATGTCAATATTGTCGATGATGAAAATAGGAAGCCAGCAGCATGCAAAGCCGACTACAACTGCAACCAAACGCTTCGTCACTTTGGCTTCCTCCACATTCACCCGAAGGAGTTCTGGATTATTTTCTAATGAGAAAACACGATTTGATCTTGACACGGTGCGGAACACTTTGACATAGCAGATCGTGATGATAATCAAGGGTGTTGTGATAAAACAGCAAAGGATTGAGGCAGAGTAAGCAATGTTACTTTCAAATTTGAACAGACACATTGCTTTTCCAGGGTGGAATTCAATGCTGTCATTTTTGAAGACTAATATGGGCACAGATCCAACCAGAGCCAAGCACCAAACGATGAAAATATACATCAAGGCTCTTTGCTTCTTAAACAGCGAGGGATACTTTTCCCGATTAACAACACAGAAATATCGGCTGACTGCAATTGCTGCCATAGTTCCAAGACTACACTTCCCAAACGCAAAGATATCAAATGCTTGAAAGCGGCAGACCGTTTCATCAAAGATCCACCTGCCGTGGAAAAGACTTGCAACTGTAAAAGGCATACATATAGTAGACATCAGAATATCGCTCACAGCCAGTGCTATTACGAATATGTTGGGAATCGTGCGTAGTCTGTGGTTATGGTACACGGCGCAAAGAATGAGGAGATTTCCAAGGATGGCCACAACATTGGTAACAGCAAACAAAACTGTTTCAGTCCAAGCTAACGTCTCCTCTCTTGTGGTAAGCTCAAGGGAAAGTTTACTTGTCATCACTGCTTTTGGTCAATAAGCTTAGCGAAAAGATAAAAAAAAACTATACTGTTGTGAAGTCTTCGTTGACAACTTTTTGAATCATTAATCGCTAAAACCTTCTAAGGTGTGCGAGTGATTTTGTCTGCTGGGATGAAAACAGATGCCATTCTCTCATAAATCTTATCTTTATACCCATTGCAATAAATAAATATTGAGCAATATTTAATATTGAACTATGTAATTATGTCAACGTCGTTGTCATTTACCGTGGGAGGTTGTAAGGCAAAAAACGGATCGATTTTATGTTACTGCGAGAACATCCACGTATTGTTTGTCGTGGAAGTTAAAAGAGGTTTGTTTTAATTGTTCTCACTTGTTTAACTTTATATAAGTGCTAGTGAGTTGCCTTTGATGTTTGGTTCATCCTTTTTGAGTGAAAGAAAGGCTGTTCATTCTGTTTAGCCATTTCTTGTTTGTAAACATCAGCATTTACAGGTTCCTGGTTAGTAAACAAACGTTATCCGATGATTCCGTCGTCCACAAAAGTGAGAAATACAATAGAGAGCTTCAACAACTTTCATTTCCTTAAACAAAATTACTGAAAAAAAGAAGACGAATTACGAATATCAAAGGAAACTTTGTAATCCACAATGCAACTTTTCGTTAAAATTCGTTTTTTGGCATAGTAGAGGGGAAGTATTTTCTTTTGACCGGCATACAAGATCGCGGAAGTAGGGTGTCAGTAAAAATTAAAGTTGTAATTAGAACCACCTCAAGTTTCTGCTTGAAACATCTAGAACGTTAATTAAAAACCGTGGGGATGTTGTCCGAACATCTTCTTTCTAAATATTGAAGCCAAAAAGTCATTTTACTTCCTAAATTAAGTTTGACCTTGGCTGATGATTCACATAAAAAAATCTGTGGAATACAGCTGTTTTTGTTTAAAGAGCTAATACCAGCTTGCAGTCATAAAGTTCTGGAAAAAAACGTTTACGCGTCTTCGTAAAAATCTGCCTTATAAATATGAAGGCGCATTTGCAGGAAATAACAGCCTAGATCCTAACTTTGGTTCCACTAGTTGGAAATTTCTTCAACATTGATAACTACCTAAAATTTTTGAAAAACGCAACATTCATAAAAATCTTTTCCTTTTCAAAAGGCGCTTGAATATTATCGAATAACGGCAAAATTGGTCGCGTCTGACATTTCGTCTCTCAATACCAACGCAAAAATTAATTTAATGTGAAAAGACATGATTTCAAGCTACGTTTGTCGTCACATTTCGTTACCATAGCTACCTACTTGGGCCTTTAATTAACTAAAAAAAACACTTCAAAATGCCCTTGAACTCTCTCCTCAGTTGCTCACTCAATGCACTATAAATGGAAAGGGTTGATGGTGCTGCTTAGGTAAGCGAAGAACCCATATGTAAGGGACACTTCTCGCGGCAACGTGAGTTCTACGCGCGCGGCTTCATTCACGTCAATCATATGTGTCGGGGGGGGGGGAATTGGTTGATTTTTGGGGAGTTACGTAGTTTTCAGGGGAATGAGAGGGGGGATCAGTCGTCGACAACAGAATATAAAGGGTGGAGCCCAAGCCTACAGGAGATTCACCATCATTGATTTTGCAATATAACGGTAATAAACTAAAACATCTCAAAATGCCCTTAAACCCTCTCCTCAGTTGCTCACTCAATGCACCATAAATGAAGGGGGATGATGGTGCTGCCCAGGTAAGCGAAGAACCCGTATGTAAGGACACTTCTCGCGGCAAAGTGAATCCACGCGCGCGGCTTCATTCATGTCAATCACATGTGCGGGGGGTGGAGAGGAAGGAAATGGTGGATTTTTGGGGAGTTTTTTTAGCTTATAACGCCGCTGACAATATACCTAGGGCGCAGTCTCCCATGCCATGTGCGTTGCTTGAGCGTTACTTGCAGTTTTTTTTTTTTTGCCGTTTTTGCCGAGTTAGTTTCAGCGAAGGATTTGAGGCTGTGTAAGATGCAATAACTTCGAATCGTTGCCGGACAGATCCTCATTGGTCATTCGTTGTGATTATCCTGTACAAGGAATCAGGACGCATAGAAGTTGTTGTGTCGCATTTATTTTGCCGAAAAGGAACGGGGAGTCAAAACTATAAAAGGTGGTCAAAAGAACTTTCCGCATGACGACAACATTGACGGAACAAATTGTAAAATTTGTCAGATGCCCGATTAACAAACCTAATTCCATCGAATGTAATTATGAGCTGTGTGCACTAAAATCAAATAAAAAAAACCCCTTGCTCTATAGTTGCTGCTAAAATAACAGATATTCCTCGGAAAGAAAACAGTTTACTTTGTACGAATTCTTAGTTAAACTGAGCAAAATTTTGGCGTAATTATTTGAACAAGTATCAGTCTATTTAATTAATTATAGGGTTTGACGGGAGCAGGTTTAATTAAGGATATTTCTGAGAGAAAGTTTACGTCCAATTTTACATAATTCAAAACAACAATTTCTCACTTACAGTGGATAATAATGATGAAGACGACATCGAAACTCAAACAGTCATGTCCCGGCTGAGTTATGATTGAAGAAATTTGCTCAAATTTGCTGACATCTGTTTTAAGATGTCCCTTTCGATTATCTTTAGTTTGGCCCCGAGCCTCAGAGAAGTCATTGAAGGGCACAGGAAATTAACCTCAATAAGAAAAGTGTAAATGAACAGAGAAATATCTTAAACTGATATCCACACACAAACAAAAATTCACTATTACATAAATAACAGTTTTGCTCTAGAACAAAATTTCTCTTTCAAATCGGCACTCTTAATCCCTACGGTATCAACGAGCGAAATTCATTTAACTAATTTACTCCCGTTTTCTCGTCACCATATTCCCACCAATGGTGTAGCTCCATTTCTGCATATAAACGCTCACCACCCACAGTTCCTCCGATCGCTCTGACGGAGGGCTGACGTTCGAAACGCCAGCTTTTAAACTCTTTACGGTGGCCAATTTACGTTTCAACTCAGTTGATAATACTAAATTACCCTGTTATACTCTCCCACCGACGCAGCTCCACAGTTTCCCAAGAAACTTGCACCCTCAAAGTCTCAAGCGCGGTTGCAGTCCCAGATTTTTTTATTCATTGGTCGAGAACGATGGTCTCCAACACACTTTCCCATGAGCTTGCTATGCGAACTGAAGCCTTTGCTAGGACTGAAACAGTTTTGTTTGCTATTACCAATGTCGTGGCCATCCTTGGAAATCTCCTCATTTTTTGCGCCGTGTACCATAACCACAGGCTACGCACGATTCCCAACATATTCGTAACAGCACTGGCTGTGAGCGATATTCTGATGTCTATTATCTGTATGCCTTTTACAGTTGCAAGTCTTTTCCACGGCAGGTGGATCTTTCATGAAACGGTCTGCCGCTTTCAAGCATTTGATATCTTTGCGTTTGGGACGAGTAGTCTTGGAACTATGGCAGCAATTGCAGTCAGCCGATATTTCTGTGTTGTTAATCGGGAAAAGTATCCCTCGCTGTTTAAGAAGCAAAGAGCCTTGATGTATATTTTCATCGTTTGGTGCTTGGCTCTGGTTGGATCTGTGCCCATATTACTCTTCAAAAATGACAGCATTGAATTCCACCCTGGAAAAGCAATGTGTCTGTACAAATTTGAAAGTAACATTGCTTACTCTGCCTCAATCCTTTGCTGTTTTATCACAACACCCTTGATTATCATCACGATCTGCTATGTCAAAGTGTTCCGCGCCGTGTCGAGATCAAATCGTGTTTTCTCATTGGAAAATAACCCGGAACTTCTTCGGGTGAATGTGGAAGAAGCCAAAGTGACGAAGCGTTTGGTAGCAGTTGTGGTCGGCTTTGCATGCTGTTGGCTTCCTGTTTTTGTCGTTGATAACATCGACATGGCACGTGGAGAACCCACGCTACCACGACAAGTGTACTTAACTTACAGCCTCTTAATTTATCTGAGTAGCACCATAAACCCATTCATATATTGCGCCGCAGATAAGAGGTTCAGACGAGAGTACAAGGTTGTTTTGAGGAAGATTTTTACCTTTAAATGCCGAGACAACAGCGAGAACGGTAACGCCTAACTGAAATAGCCAGAGAAATGTAGTAGGAAATGGATTTTTCTGAGATTTTGTTCGAGGTTGTTGCTGGTAAAATCAGAAACAAAGGACTAACGACATTATTTGATACTCATCATCCGTCAAGTGCGTTTATCTACCGAGACTTTTTGAAGTTGTAACTAACCCTTTTGGCATTTAACCTAGGTGTTCCGCATTGTCAAAGCGATGTTTCGAAGGATCAAAGATTGTGGTCATATCCGAGTTGTACCTAAAGAATCTAACAAAGTGACTGAACACTGAATATGCAAGCGATCTTCGCAGTAATGAACACCACTTAAGCAGTAATGAGAATAAGGCCTAAAAAAAGGGTCATGGGCACAAATTCCGCACAGGCCTCAATTTTTTTCAAGCCTTATTTTCACTACTGTTTAAGAAGTGTTCATTACTGCGAAGATCGTTTCCATACTCATTGCTCCATCCGCAGTACACATCCGATTTTCATACATTTCCAGTCATTACTGAACACTAGTGTATCAAGAAGTACATATTAAGAAAAATTTGATGCAAATTTACAAATTTTGCAGACGCCAATAACCGACTGTTTCGGGAAAGAGAGGTTTTAAGAGAAATTGGTATTCCTGTGCATTTTTAAAAACAGTTTTATTGATGCGGTTGAGAGAAAATGTTTAAAGATTTTACATTGTTTAAACTTGAACACACACTTAATAAACATAATGCCAGCCATCGATACATGCTCATAACATCAAAGTAAAGAGTTTTTGAGCTTAAGGAAGGTTTTTATTTAAGAGTAGTTTAACCAAGCCAAGGAAATCGTTAGGACCAATAAGAATAAAGGGAAATCACCAGGTACGGGAAAACGCGGATGACCAAGTCACGATTGATTTCAGTTTTGCATCGGATTGGTTGAGAATTTGGAACAAACACTTTTGACCAATCACAAAGCGTAGCAAAGTCAAACCAAGGAAATCGTAAAGACCAATAAGAATAAAGGGAAATCACTAGGTAAAGGAAAAAGTGGGTGACCAAGTCGCGATTGATTTCAGTCTTGCATCTGATTGGTTGAGAATTTGGAACAAACACTTTTGACCAATCACAAAGCGTAGCAAAGTCAAACCAATGAAATCGCAAGGACCTAAAGAAACAAAGGTAAATTACAACGCGCGGGAAAACGCGGGTGACCAAGTCACAAATGATTTTAGTTCTCCATCTAATTGGTTGATGATTTTGCGCGAATGCTGTTGACCAATCATATTGCGTAACGAAGGCAAATCAACTAAAACTCGAAAATGCTCCTATTTGAACTAAAACGGAGGTTAACTAAAATGGTATCTAAATAACTTATTTGTAAGAATCAAAATCGAAAACAAATATTTAAAATAAGCGATAAACTAATTATTATTGTACTCAAGAGTCCCGTATGCTGGATACTCTACGAATTCTTCTGCGAGAACGACGACGAAAGATCCAGAAACAATTTGCCAGCAACAATAGCAACAGCACACCAAGCCACTGAAATATACAGAGAAAGAAAAACAAGTGCTAGTCACAACTGCTGCAATCTGATTGGTTGATATAATCGCTTTCCATTCAACAAATAGATTTCATATTACCTTACGTCTGTTTAGTAGCAGATCACAGATGACGTCGGAATGTGGTAAGAAAAAAAAACGTGGCACTAATGTTCCTACCACATTTTGGCCTCTTCCGTATTCTATTACTGTACAGACCCACGAATAGAATAGAATTTATTATTTATTATTTCCTCTGTCGACTTCCTACATGCGATAGAAATCTCGAACCCATAATCTACATGTTAACTAGAATTAAGGAAAGCCACCCTTGCTTGTGACACTTGCTATTCAAATTCCACACCAAGTTCAGGTACAAGACACCGAAACCACACTGTTAGGCGGCAAATATCCACAACCAGAAACGTTGCTACCTACCCCCTCCTCCCTCTCTCCTTCCCGAACCCCCTTCCAAGGGATTAGGTGTTCAAATGCAAAATTTTCATCGTGATTATTATATAGTTTCATAATCACCTTGAACACAAACTTCCCAAGACTGAACATAGAAAAACCCTGCGTATTGTTCTTTTCTTATTCATTTCTTCAAGGCTCTTCACTTACCTCGACAAAACACAGCATCAGCGATTCTCTTCCGAACTTGTACCAAGCCGAGTCTTCATGCTCGACAGTGTAAACCACAAATGACGCTAACAACGCAAGTGCTATCACGGGATCAAGAAACCTGAGATAATAAACCAAAAACGAACTAATTACTGCATTAAAATTCTTTTATTTCCCTTTTTTGCGCACACATTTCAAAGCCAAAAAAAAACAAAACAAAAATGTGACATACTTTACAATAAAATCCCAAATCCTGGGAAGTCTCCAGTCGTCAAGTCCAAACTAAAGAAGACACGAGACAAAATTACTCGAGTTAAAACATCCGGGAAACGGACAGGCCTTGAAGTTGGCGCTGGACTCCGGGTCGAGAGGTCTGGGTTCGAGCCCAAGCGTGTCATTGTATTGTGTCCCTAGCCAAGACACTTCTCTACTCTCATAGTGCCTCTCCCCTCCCAGGAGTATAAATAGGTAAAAACCTGTTGCCAGGGAAACATGACGAAATAGTAAGGGGTAACTGGAGCATCAGGGGCTATGCAAACCGGGATGAGTGCCCCCCCTGATTAATCTTGTAACCAAACCTTCCACGGCCAAGCGGTTGTTTCAGTCACACAGTAGGATATGGGTACGAGATTTCCCGCTGACTAAGCCACTAAGTTGGAAAGCAAATGAAACCTTTTTATTACATTAAATGCCAAAGGTGATAAAATCGAAAAACTCGATGCTCCATGAGAACACACCTGATTGACTAGATCCTCCCTAAATTTGGACACGCCATAAAGTATTGGTAATGATATTGTAACAGCACCGGCGAGGACTTGACCGAACGCCCAAACAAAATCCTGCAATAAAAAGATAATGAAATAGCCTAAATCACATTTCGCTTTCTCTTTAAGCTCTCGAAAAATAATTAAGAAACAAAGAGAAATGTTAACAATTAATCGTTAGAGCGACTAACGAGCTTACTTATATTTGACTTTTTTCACTCATTCATTCCTCCATTTCCCATTCATTCCATCCATCCATTCATCCATTCATCCTTTCATCCATTTATTCATATATTCATTTATCTTTTTCTTTCTATTTTGATACTCACCTTTTTGCAGCTGACGTGCGGGAAAACGAGGGTGACCTGGTTCCAATTGGTCTTACGTTTGGTTTTGTGTCTGATTGGCTGAGAGAGTGGCACGAGTTTTCTGGACCAATCAAAGAGCGTGAGAATTAACACCGAGTGTTTACAAAGTAATTTCGACTTTCAATCGAAAACTGGTCGATAATACCGAGAAAAAAACAAAACAAGCCCCTTACCTGACTGACAAGGAATTTCAAATGCAGTGCTGATGGTAAGCCACAACAAAACAACAGCGTTAAAACCACGGGGAGACCATATTTTCGAGGAACTGTGAAAAAGGGAACAGGATAAACAGACAATTATAATTAAAAATAATCATCCATTTAATCGCTTTTGCTAAAGTGTTCTCACTGATTGGTCCACCTTTTCAACCAATCACATGCCAAACTCAAACTAACCGTGAGTCGTTGTAGTTGCATTTTCCCACGCTTGAGGACGAGATCTCATTGGCTCCTGGTGACATATTCTCTTGTTTTGATTGGTCGTTATAGTAACCATAATTTTTTCATGTTACGAGATTTGATTGAGAGCATTAAAAAATAAATTAAGTTTAATAAATAAGTGAATAAATGAATAGACAAAGGAACATATTAATGAATAGCTATTCGTACCTTGCATCTCTTGAAGCGTACGAACTGGCAGTTCTATCATTGCTAAAAGTGAAGTGATGCCACCAAGAGATAGGCAAAGAAAAAACAGCGATGATAGGACCCGCCCTGAAGTTTCAAGCTGCTCGTAAAGAACTGGCATCCTGACAAAAGAAAGGAATGTAAAAAAATTAGAAAAAAAACGTTGCACATTTTCCTCGAGGACAAGACAAACAAAAATCCGAATCCCCAGAGAATATTTCAATACCAGCCATATTCGATTTCACAGTGGTATCCTCTTCAAACTTAAGTTAATAAAAACTCATTTGATGGCCTTGGAGTTATTTTCAATAGAATGTTGAAAGTAGTCAGAGATTTTTTGGGGGGTTGTATCAATTCGGTCAGTGGTCGATCCTCAAAATTCGCACCATCGTTTTTATCAATCATATGCAAAACGAAAAACAATCACGACGTGGTTGCCCGCGTTTTTCCCGCGCTTATGGTGGTATTCCTGTTTTTACTTTGAGCGCTCATTGGCTGATAATGATGATGTAAACCTTTGTCATGATTGGCCGTTGTGATTTCTTTGGTTTTTGTTTTTCGATACTAAGTCAATCGGAAAGCCTTTCAGTGCGGGAAAACGTGAGTGACCATGTCGTAATTAGTATTAACTTTACATCTGATTGGTTAGACAGGTAAGGCGAGATTGTTTGAACCAAAAGGGGAGCGTTAAGAATAGCAGTAAGACGTGCACGTGTAAACATCGCTGAGCCCGCGCTTGCACGCACGTGTTTCCATTAACTAAAACTTACCAAAGAAAGGTGAGTCCTGTATTAGCATAGCCGTCCTTTCTTAATAACCGTGCGATTTCAGTTTTATTAGCTCCCTCTCTCATCTTTGTAGAAAATACCGTGGAATAAAGTGTCAAAGCGCTTACTAAACTGAAGAGGAGAAAAATTGCAGTGACAAATAAGTTAAAAAAATAAATGTATGGCATAATATAAGTTCTCTACGTTTACAAATGGCGCAAAAGATTTTGTTGGAATCGCTGAAGAAAATTAAATCAATTTTCACTTTTCTAAATGATTGCGCAACTCTGAAATAACTTTTAAGAAGAAATCTTAATTCATTAGAAACGAGAATGGGACAAAGAGTTTCGTTACGATAGGAAGGTTGAAATCATTGAACCTTCCAATTAACAGAGCAAGTGCTTTACCAGCAGTGGGTTAGAGGGAACTCATAGCGAGCTGCCATACATCTACGTTACCGACAAGGCGTAAGGATAAAAAAACTGTATATTGGCCAATTTCTGTGAGTTTGTTTTGCCTTACTTTGGACTGTGATGAAGTCCAGATCCATGCAGTCACAAATAAGCTGAATTATACAAGTATTTTGATTGGTTGGTACTTATGATCTATTGGAGGCCAGACGCATACATGAAGTCACATTAACAACTGCACTGTTCTCATCTGTGATCTATTACTGACCATGGGATCTTTTTTTTAAATTTAGCAATTTCAACCTCAATCTTAATCAATTAAGGATTTTTTTATAGTCTGGGTCAATTGTCTCAACCAAAATTATAGAGATTTAAGGAGGCAGGACTTACTTATGGCCCAAGAATTATAAATTTATCAAGAGGACTTGCTAGTGCTCACCTGACTAAATTGTTACAAAGTGGAAGAAGGATTCCTAATTTGACCACACTATTCCGTCTGGACATGTATGTTGCATATGTTAAAAATAACCCTGAACCAGCACCTAGGAGAATAAAGGCAAGGATTTTTAGAACAAAAATTAGAAGTAAACAAAAATGTGAGTTTGTATGGTACCATCGACTCCAGTTAGGAACTTTAAATAATGATTCAAAAATCCTAGTCTACTAATACTGACTAAGGCAGTTGCAGTGTTTCAATCAGTTATAAAATGAAATGGGAATGAAATGATGGGAAATGAAATGGGAAAATTTCTGTGACATAAGAAAAATTAATTGAAGTGAAGTGAAATGATGGAAAGTAATGGAGTGGAATAGAATGAAATGGGAGAAAAAGAAATGAAATTAAATAAAAATGAACAAATTGAATTGAAATAAAATTATTTGAAATCATTTTTTTACCTGTGTCCCAAGCATTCTGAGAGGCTGCATCCACCCAAAGACGTAAGGTTCCTAATTCAGCTACAGGAGAAAAATAAAAGAACTGCAACAACTTCAGTTTCTAAGGACAAATTTTAGGTTTCAAACCATTTGATGAGGTCATTATAATTATCAGGTAAGAACCTTCTTTTAAAAGTTTAGCTTTATTACAACAAAACTGATGCTTTCTGTAGTGCACAGGGACTTCCAATCACAAAGTCAAAATACTACATACATCATCAGCACTACAGAACCATCAGTCAATTAAAAAAAAAAGTAAAGCCTTTATACAGGCCCAAATGGCCCATGGGGACAGCGCTTAACTCCAGTTTCCTTAGCATGAAGCAGCTAGGGGTATTGCTACTTCCCCCTAGATGGGATGCTAGTCCATTGCAGGGTTACCCCCAGCATATTTGTTGGTACCCATTTGTACACCTGGGTGAAGAGAAGCACTTTGAGAGTAAAGTGTCTTGCCTAAGAACACAACACAATGACCCTGGCCAGGGCTCCAAACCGGACCACTCGATCCAGAGTCAAGTGCACTAACCATGAGCCCACTGTGCCTTTGCCAATAAATAACTATAATATTTAACCAAAAAGCTCTGGTATCTATGGGAAGTGATACATGCATGTAGCAAGTGAAACAGACTTTCCATTCTGCAGATTCCCAAACTAGCTCATACCCTAACTAGAGACTTTGCCAAAAATATACAATATAGAAGATGCACTGCAGCCATCATATAGCAACATACCCCAATCTGGTGTGAAGAGGTAAGTAATTCCAAATGACGCATATTTCAAAGTCAGCGACCAATAGAATGATACCACCAGTACAAGTAACAGAAGTGGCATGATGACAATGTTCACTCTTTCAATGGATGACACGGATCTGGTTATTGAGACACCAGCAAACAACAGGCTTAAAAACAGAAGGAGGACTGGTAACCACTTGCGATCCTGTTAAAAAAGAAAAAGAAATATTTTTAAATAATTTTTTTAATATTTCTAACAATTACAGTTTTCTGGGTTTGACATTAGTAATTATACCATAAGCTAATTAATACATGCATTTACCTTTTTTTAGCATATAAAATAAATAGTTTCCATGTTGCCATGAGTCTGCATTAAGTATTTAAGATCACAGTAAATGTCAAAAAGTTGTAAGAACTTAACAACACATTTGGCTGTGCCTCGTATGTCATCATTTTGTTTTTACCACATTTTGACATTATCTGTGGTCTGCTAATTGTGGTCTGCTAATAAGAAGAATGATTTAAAACAGATTTTTTTCAAATGTGTTTAAAAGTGCATTTCCAACCATATGGGTGCCTGTTTTAAGAAGTTAATGACATCTGTAAACCAAGTAACAAATTACTAACAAACATCACCTGTAAATGATGCCAAATAGCCTGGCTTGCTTCCAATGATTCAGGCAGGTGATAGGAAATGGAGTGAAAGACATAATAAAAACACCAGCCAACCACCACAGCATAATATGACCTGAAATACAATCAGATGATCATCTTTGTTTAACAACAAAACAAATAACAAAAGTCATCAAATTGGTTATTACAAGCCCTATTTGAGCACTGATAGGACAGTGTACAAGTCATGCTTTTAAGTGAAGAGTTTAACTGGATAGTGTACAAGTCATGCCTGTGTGGTTCATGTGTACCAGCTCTTGTGGTGCATTTCACCAAGTTAACTGTTTTTTGTTTGTTTTTTTTTTAATGAAAATGTATAACCCATGGCAAATTTGTTTCCAAAATTTTGTCGGAGTTTTGATTAAAGGGTACCAGGACTTTAAGTCATTCAATTCTGTTTGAAATCACACTTGTAATTGACAAAGAGAACTCTCACTTTGTATTGCACCAATCAATTTGGAGATTTGACAGTTGTCCATGCCCAGGGGGGTGGGGAATCAGTACCATGCCTTGGTGGGATTAGTAATTTGAAGCAGAGGAATACACATCTTTAAATTTTAAATAGGAGGAGTTTGAAGGTAAAGAGGCCACCTTCATAAGCAAAAGGCTTAGTCAAAAATTTTCACGTCACAGAATGATGGATACAATGGAAAAACCAAACAGCAGCATCAAAAGCTAATTGATGAATTTATTAAATTCTGCAACATTTGTAGATCACACAAAGAATCCTTCAGAAGAAAATTGTGCTTGAGTAAGGAATTTGAAAAACTCAACAGCCAAGACAAGTTGTCACCACAATATTGATCCAATATCAAGTTAACAAAATGGCTACATTGATCATCACTAAACAGTAAATTACTCATGAAAAAAAACACACTTACGCAATGCAACTAACAACTATCACCATCCATCCACCACACCATAATGACCAGGGTCCCCGTAGTGCTCGGAATGATTTGACTGGAGCCCTTCTTGTATATCGACCAACAGAATACTCTATCAGAATCACTGGTATTGACCACAGACCAAGAAATAATAACCACACCAACAAAAAGTGGAGTCCGCCTATAAAAACAACATGGTATCTTACATAATAGTGATATCACATAATTAAACCTAGAAGGGGGGAGGGGTTATATCCTCTATACCTGCCACCCCTCCCTCCCCCCCCCCCCCAACACCACCTCCCAGGCCAGCTGATTAACTTACCACTAAGGTCCAGATCCAACCCTGACCATCCCCTTAAGTAAAAAAAGGAGTTGGATATGACCAAACTTCCCAGAGCTCGGCATGGATTATTAATTAACGATAGAGTTCGCGTGATTCCTCTGAGCAAAACTGTTTTTGATGAGAAACATCTACAAGGTTGTGACAATAAGCGATAAGGCTATTGGTATTCCATGGACGAATGGATTGAATGGAATTTTGTAAAACGTAAACAAACAGCAAATGGACACAACTGCTTTGCTTATTTTTCTACCTTTGTCTCCACTGTTATTGGCAACTATCCTTGGAAATCTCCAGATATTTCCTGTTCCTATCACACAGCCCAGGCACGACAAAACAAGGCCCCATTTGCTTGAAAACGTAAGGGAGCTCTGCACCACACAAAATGATGGAATTCACAAAATTATATAATACTGAGAAATTTATACTCCATCATGGGACATCACGTGGAATAATAAACCAATTTTCCAAAATTCGTCACCTCATTTTGATAATTTGAACTTGTGCTGGAATCACTGCGTAAAAGCGGACGATTTTCTCCGTCAGACATACTTGAGACACAAATCTTAATCAGGAAATTAGTTCATGAAATCTGCATCGACCAGTTCCGGGAAAACAATGTGATAGTCAACTCCGAGTTCCAGTCCTTCACGTTAATCACGTGCAACGCCTGGCATAAAATCACGTTTTGCAATTAAGTAATATCAGCTGATAATTTTTCATTCGAAAAGCAGTGTTTTACTTCGTAAATCTTATGATAAGAAGGAAAATGTCGCGCTGGTTCTCATTTTGGAGAGTGCAGACAAAGCTCGAAGAATGTACCGGGCCGTTCTCTGTTGGTTGCAGCGATTTTATGTGTGCAAAAGATGAATCTACAGGTTTTTCTACTGAAGGTGGTAGCTTTATACGTTTCTTTTACCCAGCGGAGAAGACGGCTGGAACATTGGATGAATCGAAAAGATGTTTTTGGATTCCTCGTCAAGAATACGCATCAGGGCTTGTAAACTTCATGAAACTTACAGGTTGGGTTTTAGGAAGATTTTTCTACTGGTGTGTAGGTAGGTATAGAGCTCTCAATTTGATTTACAACTAACTTAAGGTTGAGGTACTCGACCGCATAGCTATTGATTGTAATGCAGGGGGTTTTACCTTCCTAGGGAGGGGGGGAATGCGGAAAATAAAGTAGTCAAGACGTGCACTCCATAGTCTGAACGTGTGCAGCGAGAATCCACTTAAATGGGCTATAGTCAGCTTGTGAGCATTTGCAATGATCAATAAATCCACTTATTGCGATATTTTTATTACTCTAGGTAGCTTGCAGATCCCTGCAATATACAATGCACCACTTTGTAAACCTGCTGGAGAGGACCAGTTGTTACCTTGTGTTATTTTTTCACATGGCCTGGGAGGCAACAGGTTAATCTACAACACTTACTGTTGTGAGTTGGCATCCCAAGGATGTCTAGTGGCATGTGTAGAACACAGGTAAGCAGTTATGGCTTTGTTTAGTTTTTTGAGTATGGGCCTTTCCACACTAGCAAAAAATTGTTTATTTAGGAAAATGTTCTGTCACCACCAACACAAGTGTGAATGGTTTGTCATGACTTGACAAATAATTGTTTTGGCCGAAGCAGACAAATCTTCAAACATACTGCCAACAAAATTTGTCCCATAATCATGATAACCTTTTTAATCATTTGTCATTAAAACTATGACCAGCATGTAATTGAACTGAAATTAGTTTATTAGAAAGGCAAAAATTGTCTTTTGTTGCAAAACTCAGTGATTCTAAAATTTTAAAATGAATGTTGATGAATCCTGGAAATTGCAGGTGGAATCCTCTGCCAAACTATGTTGGCTGGTCTTATGAACAGATCAAACGCTGACAGAATTGACAGCTTGAAATTTTTAATGTGGACAAAAATAAATGCAAATTTGTTATGACAAAATTTGTCCTTTGATTTTGATGGGACAGTTTTTACAGTTTTGTCCACTAGTGAGGAAAGACACAAAAAGAAAGTTTCATATAATGAAGACAAGTATTAGCATTGAAAGTTAATGCATTGATACTTATTATGCAATTGAAAGCATTATAGAGAATGATTCATCATTAAGATGGGACAATAAATAAGGGGTTCACATGACTTTTGCAGTAATCATCAGTTGATTTTGTGATCTGACCCAAATTAAATATTGAAAACAATTTTTTTTATTTTAAAACCAGCATAAAACAAAATACATAACTACAAGGCTCAGGAAAATCAACTGCACAATCTCTATAGTTTATTTTCCAAGGCCTTGCACCTGACTCCACTTAAAATTGAATAAGATTTTTTTTCTTTTTAAAAAAACACTAGAGATGAATCAGCCTCTGCTACATACATTCTAAAGAAAAATGATGGAGATGGGAATATGACAGAGGAATGGATCCAGTACCACCATCTCCAAGAAAGTGATAATGAGTTTGAATTTCGAAACAGGCAGGTGTGTTTATTTGTAGTTTAGATATATTTGTAGTTAAGGTACAACCACAGTTTGTACTTCAGCTTATTGGCTCATTCTGACAGAACTTATCCTAGTTTATGAAGCATTATATGACAAAATACATGGCCAGTCATTATGGATGGGAAGCCAGTTATCAGAGGATAATGAATGGCATCTGTTAAATTCCCAGATAATTCCTTGTGACTCAATTATCCCCTCAGCTACTAGGTAGAGAGAGGCACTTTTAAAGTTAAGTGTCTTGCAGATGAATGCAGCACAGTGACCCAGTTGGTGCTGAAACTGAGATCTGTTGACACAGATTCCATGGTCCTTACTATCAGGCCAACTCTACTATTTCTTTAAACACCACAATATCACTTTTAAAACTGCCTTAACAAGGAAATATACTTCATTTTTGTTCATTAAAACAGTTATTTTTTCTTTTTGTAGGTTCACATCAGAGCAAATGAATGTGTAAGAGCCCATAACATTCTTGAAAACATTCAATCAGGACATTTTCCAACAAATTTGTTCCAGGAAAACTCTATTTTACAACAGCTCAAGGTATTTGAGGGAAATTGGCTTTGTCCATTAATTTTATCCCTGTTCCTTTTATCTTCAGTCATTCCATCCATTAATCTATTCAATGGCACCACTTATTTGAAGGAGTGATGAAGCCATTCAGCAAATAAATCACTGTGCTTTGGATAATCGAAGAATTATGTTTCCTTGAAAAGCAATCTAACCAATGTATTTCAAAATTTCATATTTGTTTACATTGTAGTTTGTGGCTCATCAAGTCAGGTGAAAGAAAAATATTGATTGCTTTTTAGTTGAGTGGTTACCTCTGTTTGACAACAAGAATAATGCTAATTCATAAATTGTGTCTCCTTTGTCTTTTTTTTAAGGGAAGACTGGACTTAAAAAGGGTTGCAATAGTTGGTCATTCATTTGGAGGTGCTACTACTGTCCTATCTTTGGCAAAGGACAAGCGATTTAGGTACTGTGTTCATCACAAGGCTAATAAAATTAACTCTGCAGTCTCAGACACGTCTGTGTTATGTAATCTAAAAAGATTACATTGTGCATAATAATAAAGCTTTGTTAAGATTGGCATTGGAATCAAGCTTGCCTGTGACTTTATCCTATGCAAAATACAGAGCCTCTTAAAAATATTTTTACCATCATCAACACCAAATAGAAACCAGATTTATGGTAGTTCAAAATTCCAGTTTATCCAAATCTATAAGTGTTTCCAAGAAAAAAAAAACCCTTTTCATTAAATGAATTTGTTACATTCAACCTTAGAGCAACATTATCTTTCAAGTTTTTCTAAAAAACCATAATTAAATAAGATCTGCTAGGTCAATCTTGATCAATTTTTTTTTAAATTATTTTACAATGACAATAAGATTTCCTTTACGTCTTTCTTAATATTTATTGTAGCATATTTTTAAATTGGGTAGAGAAATTTTCTTACTCAACATAGACAATTTTTATTATTAAATTGCCTTTATTCAGTCTATTTTAATCTATCTTCAGTGTAATACATGGAAACCAGCTTGTGAGTGTTTGTCAATAATATTTAATTGTATTTAAACAATCAGCCAGTAGGTATGTAACCTTCAACTTCATCCAAGTAATTTTATTGACTTAGTTAATTTCTCAACTCATTTATGTTCCAGGTGTGGTGTGGCTCTTGATGTGTGGATGCTGCCATTAGGAAAAGGGATATTTAGTTATGATCTTGATCAGCCTTTACTGTTTGTCAATTCACAACAATTTCATCGCTGGGACCAAAACGTGGATCCTCTTAAAAAGTTTATTAGTAATAAGCCAGGTTTGCTTTCTTATCATTGTTTATTTTTTCCTCTTCTTCGAACTAATTTCTCTATTTCTTGGCCCGAGAGCAAAGTTTTACCTATAAGAGCGCATCTTCATTGTGTTTAATAAGACCAAAACACAGGAAATCACAACAGCCAATCAGAGCAAAGAAAAATAGCTCAAGGAGCCAATGGGAACGCAAAGTAAATGAGAGCAAACTGTCCAAAGCGCGGGAAAATGTGAGTGAAGAAGTCGCAATAAGTTTTAGTTTTGGATCTGATGAGTGAGAAAGTGGTGCAAATTTCTGGAACAATCACAGAGCGAAGTAAAGCAAAACTAATGCGATCCTGAATTACTTTCCACCCTCGATTGAAAATTGATCTTATCAATGGAGTTCTTCACTAAAATCAGGTTTTTTTTCAATTTCATTCTTTGCAGAAACAAGACCAATCATAGCGATAAGGTAAGAAATTTACTCAGTACAACTATGAATGATTTTCTGCGGAATCGTTCTTTTTGTCTCGGTGCTACTGACCTTAGTGAAGTGAAGTTTAAAAATATTTGTTCATGGAGATGTTTTCACACCAACTGACTTAACACTTACCTTTGTGAGCGTTTAGTATATATTCAAAGCCTTTCTAATAATTTCCCGTTCATCAGTACATTTCTTTTAGACGCTGTATTTCCTAGTAAGAAGTTTTTTCGTTTTTTTTTTTTTCAATTACAGAATATTGTTAAAATCTTTGTTGTCCATTTAAAACCGTCCACGCTCAGAGACTTTCTCATTTATCGAAAATGGTGGCAAAAACGGTTTCCTAAACAGGACAGCTTACTTAAACAGATAGCAAGAACAAGACTTTTTAGCCAACGTCGACGTGTGCTAACTGTTTTCAGACGCCGCCCTCTGACAATTAAGGGCGCTTTCCCAGTCATTAGCCCAGGCTGTTGGTGTAATGACATTGTGGACGGAAAATACCATATTTTTATTAGGTCCTTAAGTGTGACGGAGACCGTCTGGACGGATTCATATGATGAATTGAAATTTTATGTTTCCTTTTCCTTAAATATCAACTCATTTCTTGTCTTACAAAAGAGCACACACGTCTTTCTTCGCCAGGTGGACAAGACATATGAACCAATGTGACATACCGTCAGTTCTGCCACCATACATACTGTACTGGACCTCACTCGGAAGTAAACTTGATCCAACCACAGCCGTGAAGCTTAACAGACAAGCTATCTGGGCGTTTTTGAGGAGACATCTTGGTACGTAAGCGATAATTTATCTAAGTATTAGAGGTAGATCTCACTTTCTTTAGTTTATTTTAAACTCACTTATCTAAGTATTAATGGAAGATCTAGCTTTCTTTAGTTCGTTCTAAACTCACTGCTTGAAGAACCCTCAGGTTTTAAGAGAGGGTCTTCCGTTTACATTCCATAAGTTCTATGCGCATGCGTTAATTGGTGATGAACATAACCGGTTCTGTTGGGTTTTTTTTGTGTGTGTGTTTTAAAATGTTCAGCTTTGAATGTCATTAACATGGTATTTACTGGAAGACAAACCTCAGGGTGGTACCCATAGGATACTTATATATAATGTAAAACATATTCGGGGGTATATCGGAAGACAATGGAAATCTGCACCTAAGAAGTAAAATCATGTAAGTGCACCGCCGGCTGGGGTGCGGGAGCCGCAGACCCGCTGGCAATTTGCGCAGGTAAAGTCATTTGTGGGGGTTGGTGGAATGGGGGTAGACTGGAGCCTCTGTCGCCTGAAACCCTTACTCGGCTTGTCTTAAGGGTATACCGTACTACTCAAGGGAGTTAACAGTAAAATCTCCGGGGGTATGCCCAGGTATCCCTCTTGGCTTCTTGGACTGTGGCAAGAATTCTAAGATGTAAAAGCACACAAGTTTAAAGTTTCATATGTCTTTTTTTTCCAGATATTGGAAATCCACCGTTACGTGAACCCATTATTGACGGCGGGGAAGGGACACCGGAATATATCATTATCGGTCCAGAATTTACAACTAAAGAAGAACGCAAGAAACTGGACATGGTACAGAGTTCATTGTAATACTTTGAAGGAAATTATCTCTCTTCAAAATCAATTTTTCTATCGGTATTGAAGTTGTATGCTACAAAATGTGACATATTTCTACACTAACACCATTCATGACTTATTCTCACCTCTATTCAATCAAATATCAGAAGCGAAATATTTTGAAAATAGCCGGCATTATTTTTAAGTTTACGAAAATATTTTGGTAAACCTGTCTTTCTCTTAATGGTCCTACAAACTTACAGAAACGCTCTTACTTTGAAGAAAACTAATCACCCTCACAGCGTAAGTCTGAAATGCCCAGTTTGAATAATAAGAGAGTTTTGAAATACTCGATAAGTATTTGAAATAGTCAAAAAATCCTACTCTATTTGTTACAACATGCACTTCTGTGAAACACACAATTTTAAATTTGGCGTCTTCGATGTAAATTTCCAAGAATCAATAAACACTCAAGAAAAAAGGTATTTACGCCACTCAAATATTTACAGTAGACACATGTACACTGGTTGCACCTGTTTAATACTCGCAAATATGAGGAAAAGATATTCTGGTTGGTTTCACACCGAAAACATCTGAAAAGTTTCTGAAGAAAAGCTAGCTAGCCATCCATCTGTCTTACGAGAGATAATTACAACTAGAGTGGTTCAGTGGCCAGACTTCATTCAAATACGCAAAGCAAGTAGGGTAAGTACATGTCAATCTCTCAAGCCGGTGGAAAACGGAATCTTTACCGCCGATAAATAAAAGATCTTGTATTTTTTTTCTTGGTTCTACCATAAAATTAAATATTTGAAAAAGCGATTGATCATAGCCCTGAGTAGGTCGGTAAACCCAAACGAGGAAAACATAAAATGCAAGCCATCAGGTGGTGAAGTTTGTTAAGAATGTTATTGAGCTTCAGTAAATATTTCATCATGAGCCACTTGTGATCTCAGCTGATGAGAACATCAGTTGTGCGTTAGTAAAGAAAGCTAGAAGAGGGTTGTTAAAATAATATTTCTTGTGTTATTCTTGAAACAGATCGAAACTTAATGATCAGAGAGCGTTAACGCATTGTGTCACCACAAAGACACAAGGCTTTTCCTCTCGTTAACGACTAGCTTTTATCTTTCTCCTCTGTTAAGTGCTTCATTGTTTCTGAATATTCAAGTAGACCAGCCTTCTCGTCGAGCGGTAAATCTTGCTTCAGTCTCAGTCTCAGTCTCCATAATATTTTGGTGCCGGAAACGAAGAATCTTGCTAAAGATATCCTTGTATTCTCGCCCCAATTGCTTATTCATGACGCCATATATAACTGGGTTGATGGTGCTACTCGTGTAAAGCAGGAACGCGTAAGAAATGTATACCCCTCGCGGCCAGGTGTCGTCCCCACGCATGGCATCAGTGGTGTCAATTACAAAAATTGGCAGCCAGCAAGACACAAAACCGACCAGAACTGCTAATAAAGTCTTGGTCACTTTGGCTTCTTCAACATTCGCTCGCAAGCGGGGAAAATCGCTTTCTTCCGAGAAAACACGATTTGATCTTGAAACTGCACGGAACACCTTTGCATAGCAGATGGTTATGAGTGTTAAGGGGGCTGTGATGCTAACAAATCCTAAAAACAATGTATAACCAATGTCGCTTTCGAAAGTGTACAAACACATCCCTTTCCCCAGCTTGAATTCAAATCCACCTCTCTCAAAGAAAAGGGGAGGCACAGATCCAACGAGAGCTGCGAACCACGCACAAGCAATGTACAGACAAATTTTTTCCTTCTTAAACAACACCAAGTACCTTTCTGGTTTTACAACGCAGAAATATCGGCTGATTGCAATGACTCCCATGCAATGAATTGAGGCCACCGCAAACGTGAGAACTGCGAAACCATTAATTCGACAAAACGTTTCACCAAAGATCCATCGACCGTGGAAAAGAGTTGCAACAGTAAAAGGCATGCAGCACGAGGAAATCAGAATATCGCTCACAGCCAGTGCTATTACGAACATGTTGGGAATCGTGCGGAGCCTTCGGTTTCTGTACACGACATAACAAGTGAGAAGATTCCCAAAGAAAGCCAAAACGTTAATCATGGCAAACAAAAGTGTTTTGGTCCAAATTAAAAATTCAGACCTTGATGCAAACTCCATCTTTTTTTTAGGCCGCACTTTCCGTTCTGGAGTTATAGAGGTGAAGAGGTATCGAATATAGTTTACGATTGATGCATTGATAAATGTGTCATGGTTGTCCTATATCAAAGCCAATATCCTTCATAAAATGTCAGCTGCCCACCTTGTCATGTTTTTGTTAATCCTATCTTTTAAGGACATCAATATATCCAGCACTGAAAAACGAAGGTTGGCACTGAAATATCTATTATAAGTGAGAGCTCAAGTAGTGTAATTTCAATAAACTTGAATAAATTAAACCAAGTGAAATTTGTCAATTTGCAACTTGTCAGCAATTTTCAAATGTCATCATTTTTTCAAATCTCAATGTATCTGTCAATTCCATATCACTTTTTAGGTTACGTTATTTTAATTTTAGGAGAAATGTGCCAAGCCGTGCATTTTTTTTTTTTATTTTTTATAATTGATTCTTATGTTTAGGTTCTGCACTTTCCTCTATTAAGGTTTTAACAGTTACCCAATTGCATTTAATTTCACAAAATCAGTAATGACATTTTGACAAAGACGTTTGGAAATTTTCAAAGCAGATATGAGCCCAAGACGTAAAAATTGGAATCAAATGAAAGTCAGCTAATTCAGCCTGTAATTAAAGTCGTCGTTAAAAAAGGGGAAACTGTCGCATTATGAAAATTGATGAAATCAATTAAAAGCTACTGCTTCCGATTTGCAAGGGAATCAATACGGGTACAACAATTCATTGACATCAAAACAATATGCGTTCCCTGCATATGCGTTCGTATTCTGAGGAAGTCGTAAGAGTAGAAAAGATGTTTCTGTTTTGATGACAATTTGTGCATCTTGTATGAAGTGCACCAACCTGAATCACTTGAATTCAATTTTGTAAAATCCCGGATGTACTCGTGTTCACTCTAATGATGTAACCTTCGAGTATTATTCTTTTTTGTTCGTTTTTACTTTATCTTTTATTTCGAGTTAGTCGTTTATTTACGCTTGCTGTTCTTGATCGTTACTTGCCCCGTTTGCACAAAGACACCCTGTAACGTCTGCGTGAGAGAAAGAAAAAATTTTCACAAAAAATTAATCACGAATTGTTGTCGCTTAAAAGCTCCTGGGATAATACACAGAAGACACTACTACAGCACTTGCACCTGTTATGTTTTTTAATTTTTTTTCACAGAGTATCGATTAGCCTTATCTTGCCAAATCAATCACAACTATTTGCTTTGTTTCAGTTGTTCTTGGAAGAGACAGTTCTAATTGACCATGACGCGTTTTTTTTTTTCCTCGATCGTTGCACCCAACGATCGATTACACAAAACGGCATGGTACCTGGTTACTCGCACCTGTGTAAGGGATTGGATCATTCTCCAGCTGTGCACCCCATTTTTCCCGAGATTTTAAACCTTGCATGTTCTGAGGCTGACATCGCTTAATCAAATTCACAATAGCAAATGCTGTCATTCTCAAATGAGCGCCACACCTTGAGTCAATAAGCCCCTCGCTGGCCCCTCTTAACTTTGTCAAATAATTGTGCTTTTTGAAATTTAGCCGGTTTCAGAGCGAGTATAAGCACCCTGTTCTATAAATAATTTATTTTATCTTTATCACTGGAGATTTCTGTCGTATGCTGCGACTGTAATCTGAGTGTCGAGGCTCATATCCTTACGACACTAATGTTCAGTTTGCGAATAACATCTTTGTATAAGAAACAAAATACTTTGCAGCAATACAGCAATACTTTTGACAAACTATGAGTGCATGTAGCACCTTTTAGTGCTGGTTTGTTGCTCTTCAAAGCTAATGGCTTGGGAAGGTGTCAAAAACTAACAATGAGTAAAGGGGTAAGTTTCTAAAGAAACTGCGGTGCTGCGTCGGTAGGAATATATCAAGTTAATTTGGTTTATCAACTGAGTTGATATGTAAACTGGCTACCGTAAACAGTTTCCAGAGCTGACTCTCTACAGTGGCCAATTTACATTATCAGCTAAGTTGATAAAACCAAATAATATTATTCTGTTAAAGCTAAAAATCCTAACTGGTTAAGGAACCGGTAGTACGGAAATGGTTGACAAAAGGTACATGCTGTTACCTAAAAATCAACGCAATGATTTTATCTACCCCCAAATGTATTTAATTTTCTCGCCGAAGTAAAATTAATTTCCTGTTTTTCAAACTTTTCAGAGTGCAATCATTTTTTTAATTGGTTAAAAACAAGCAAATTCAGTTACCATTATCTTTTAATTCCCTTCCGGAACGCATTAGTATTTCTATTGGAGGAAATTCAGTTTTTCATTTTTGAACTCGTTTACTCTGTCGAGGATTAATTTTTTCAGAAAGAAAAACAGAAAAGATTTGCATTTCATTTTCAAAAATGTTGACACCAATTACTTCCGTTGCCGCTGACTCCACCTTTTAACTCAACAAGAGAAAAAATTTTGGTAATGAGTTTGGCTTCAAAGTTTTACCGCTTTTCGTTCTGGTGATCGAAATCTATAATGAAAAACCTTTCTCTCGAACTTGCTGCACGGGCAAGATCTCTATTTTGGATTGAAACAGTTTTGTTTGCAGTTAACGATGTTTTGCCTCTCTTCGATAATCTTCTCACTTGCTTCGCCATGTACAGAAATCACAGGCTCCACACGCTTCCCAACATGTTCATAATAGCTCTGGCTGTAAGCGATTTGTGATATCCACCTGTTATATGCCTAATAAAGTCACAAGTCTCTCCTACGATCGTTGGGTTTTTGGTAAAAGATTTTCCTCCCTCCAAGGTTTTGGAGTGTACAAGTTTGCAGTTGTTTCTCTTTTTACTAATAATTGCGTTATAATAAATAATAATTGCAGTAAGTCGATATTTTTGCGTCGTGAAACCTGGAAGGTTTTTACGAAGAATAAAAATTTGATTAACATTGTTATGTGTTGGTGTTTGGCTTTCGTTGGATCTGCGCCTCTATTCTTTACATTTAAGAGCGGCAGATTTCAGTTTCATTCAGGTGAGGCAATGTGCTCGATCACATTCGAAGATGACACAGCTTTCATAATCTTTAGCAACGTTTTTTATATATAGCCACTCCTTTCGCCATCATCACGGTCTACTGCGTCAAAGTATTCCGCGCTGTTTTGAGATCAAATCGTGTTTTCTCACACAAAAATAACCCTCGGCGACACCGGCCGAATGTGGAAGAAGCAAAAGTGACATAGACTTTAGCAATGGTTCTGCTCGGCTTTGCATCTTGTTGGCTCCCACTTTACATTATGGATTTCAAAAGCAAAGAAAATACCTTAGCACGACATGGGCATCTTGCCATCGCGTTTTTATTGTACTATTACTACGTTTTTATTGCTATGAACAAGCATTTCAGAAGATAGTGTCGGCTATTCTATAAATACGTAAAATCCTTCGCTTCAAATATCAGAACATTCATAGGTAAACTAAATGGCGCCATTTGGTGAGGTAAGTCTCGTAAAAACTCATATAGCCTACATAACAGACTGATATACTTATGCAAATATATTAATGCGACTTCACAGGTTTGTTGTTTTCTGTGAATGTAAGATAAGAAAGATGGCAAAATCTGATCTTATTGGTCGAATAAGAAGACATTTTATTCGTCTTCCCAGAAATGAGGGACAAAAATACCAACGAACAAAGAACTCCGATTTCAGAGTTTTGTTTGGTTAAACTTGGATAGAACGTGGTTAAACTTAATCCAGACCTTCGGATTTCTTTACTTTTGTTATTAGTTGCTATGTGTAATTGTTTCTCTTATCCTGTGTCTAAACTGTAAAACTCAAAAACTGACTCGGAAAATTAAAAGAAAAATATTTACAAAGTGTGAAATGTTGTGTTGATGAAACATACTATGAAGGGCTTTCCTTAAGCCGCTTCAAATGAGTCTGTTTCCATCGCAGCTTTGACAATAAATACTACCATTCTATGCCAAAGTGTTCCGCATAGAAAAACTTGCTCTCTTACCATCTAAGAATTTCACTATTGATTCCATTTTTATTTGAACCAGCTTCTCAACCTAACAATGATGAATGACTTGTCTTTTCGTAATATTCGGTCCCAGGTCTCTTTCTCAAACCTTCCGGGTTACTTGATCCAGTGCTGTTGTTAAGCTCACATGTGTTACTCTGGGGGAAATAGTTGAATGACATACACCTCATCTCCGAGAGGCAATAGACCATACACTTCCATGACGATGTCACGTGATATTCCGTGTGAATCACGTGATTTGTCAATGCTGACTGCACACCAGTTTTTGTAACGGGTTGGTAAAACAAAGCATCTTTATAAGGGATGGCTCGGTTTTCTTTGATGTAGGGTGAAAATAACATCAGAGATTAATGAAAATATAGCACTTAAAGAGTCTATATCACCAAGTAGTATCCGTATTAACGTGCGTCTGTTCAGTAAAAGATCACTGATGACATCAAAATGTTGTAAAAACGAAAAAAGAGCTAAGGAGGTGCAGCCGAATGTGTCACTGATGTTTTCATTTTTTATTTTCTTAGAAACTCGTTTTCGGCATTGTTCTCTCAAGTTCTCAAGTTCTATATTCTGATTTTATCAGTAAGAACACTACTCAGTAGTTGTAAATCACAGAAAATCAGCTCTACCAATTGAGCTTAGCTGGTCAATGAATTGGGTCCAAATAAACATCCAAGTGAATGAAGATTTTAGATATATGAAAATTCACATATTTGCACTGCGGTGGAAAGATGAAATTAGGAGATCCTCGCAGCTAAGAACACTACTGAAACGAGTAGTTGTAAATATGCCCGTACGGGATTTGAACCCATGACCTCTGCGATACCGGTGCAGCGTTCTACCAATTTAGCTAACAAGCCAACTGGGAGCTGGTCAATTAATTGTGTATCAGTCAATCAGTCACAGAAAATCAGCTTTAGTCAGTCACTAAGATTTGTGCTAATAGCACTAGAGGGGTAATATGCCCTAAGAATTATTGAGAAGAAGTCTACAGTGGCTTATGATC